ATATTTGAAAAAAATAAATGCAATCCAGAAATGAAATGTTGAATCAAAAAAATGTTCTAAGCATAATGAAGATATTTTGTCTGATTTTGTTTTTAAAAAAATCATACATTTTATTTTTTAAATGTACTTTTTCATTACATATATTTTACAGATTTGATCTTTTCTGTTTATTATTTTTTAAAATATTTTCTGTCTTCATTTTTTCTTCATTTAAAATTCTTAGATTGAGTTTAATGATTTTTTTTTCAAGTTATAATTTTATATCAAAGTTACTTTTAAGACATTTTTTATTATTAAAAAAGTTTATGAAGTTTTATTTCTCTATTCCCCTTTTTTTTCAAATTTAGATTTATAAAATGTGTTTTTTTCAAACATCCAATAACAAAATGTTTTCCTTGTTTACAACAATAACGGAATGAAATTCCCTCTGTACTCCAGCAGAGGAGAGAAGATGTAAAACCAGGCAGCTCTCCCTTCACATACCACTAACCGTGGGCCTCCCTGCCTCTCGTCACAGCAGACACAACAAGACCCAAGGCTGAAAACAGATTGAACCAGTTCATGTCTAAATTTCCTCCATGTGACACAACACTACTGCTGAGGCATGCATCGGGTTAAAAACACAACTTCCACAGTAAAACCAGCTCAGCTCACAACCAATGAGGCTCATCCTGGCAGAAAAAAACAGTCTATTCACCCTGAGGGTCACTGGAGAGAAACCCAACATGATAAGAAACTTTTGGATTGAGTTCACATCTAGTTTTTAGTGAAACAGGTGAACAGCATTTAATTCAAAATTTAAAAAAGGGTAAACAAAAGACAGCTGCTGAGAGAGAAAAGAGGGGACCACACAGTGAGGAGAGACGGAGATAACATTCAAACCGCTAATTAGTGGGAAAGAATGTGACACCAGGAGAGCAGAAGTCTTGCCCAAAGCAGCTTATTAAACAAATCACAAAGTCATTTATTTTCTGTCTGTCTTTGTTCCTTAATGTATTGCATTATTTCTATGAAAGATTGCAATAGCAAGGGAATAGAAATCTTTGTGTCCTCGACTAAAAACACAGAGCGTTGTGTTAGAAGGAAAAAAAGTTTCAGTAATGTTTGGGTTCCAGGCTAACTGTCTACAGACTGGCCCTCAGAGCAGCCTGACATGGAGACCTGAGAGGAACCAGTTGAGGAGGAACCAGAACCCCAAAAACACCAGAAGTGGGATTCACACCGTTACTCCGGCTCAGTGGTAGAAATCCACTGGAGACCAAAGCCCCTACACAACCTTACCTCTCCACAGATGACCCACCCCACTACTGTTAGTACACCACCCCCTTCCCCCGCATCCAAGTCTACTTTCTCTATAGATTGTTGCATGTATCATGGAGGAGGGGGTCCTGAGGGAGAAACTAACCCAAACAGTTATTAGCCATTTTTTTTAGCCCCATCCCATTAAAACCAATCCAGAGACTTTGGCGTGGGTCTCCACAAGATCCTCAGTGCCTTATCAGCTGACTAAGAAGCAGCAACCTTCCCCAGATCCATGATCGTAGGAAAGTGCAGGGTCTAGCAGGCAATCCCCAGCCCCCTACCACCCCAGCATACCACCCTAAATGTATGTTCACCCCAAACACGAAACCTGTCAATATGTCACCAATATGTGATCACCTGGTCATGCAAAAGCCTGGGATCCTACATCTCACCTCAACATGGATGACACGGATTAACCGAGTTTGTTTTTTTTATTTTTGACAGCTCAATAAAGCGGTTGGCGCTCCTGGACAGAACCAGATTCCCAGAGAGATAGAGCCAGTACGTAGAAAACCACTGCCACCTCCAAAGGCTAAGGCTACGTTGGTTCAGCGGCACTTTGGGGCCCTGCTGTCCTGGGGGTAAATCATTTGGACATCAGACCAAATGTTTTTTTTTTACGCCAAAAGATTTGACCAAAATGTTTCCCACTACATTCACAAACACTGATGGTATCGAGCTACACTGTAGGCACAGCTGCTCTGGGACTGCCGGACACGGGCGCCGCCAGCTGACCTTCAACCGACAACCCTTTGGTTTCAGGGCAAACTCCTGCATGAGTCGCCACTGTAGGCGGACAAAGTGCTGTAGATAAAAAAAAAAGAAAAAGTTAAGAATATATAAATAATTTTCAAAAACAGACATAATAAAAATGTTCACAGCAGGAGTAGTATCATATGAAACTAGAGCACAATGTTAAAAGCCAAGGAAAACATTTTTAAAAAGATTAAAAAACTGGAAAAGAGGAGGCCTGTAAATGATTACATAATGAATGAGCTGCTGCAGCAAATGTTCCGTGACCGCTGACCTTCAGCCTAGTTTCAGGGACGGTCAGCAAAAGCCAATCAGCAGACCTAAGTGATCGAGGGAGGCAGGAAGGTTGAAGCAGCATGGATAGATACGGTGCAGTGAGGATGTTCAGACATCTAAAACAAATATCAGCTTAAAATTAACTCTATAATGAATAGGGTGACAGTGAAAGGACGCCAGAATGAAAGGGATATGCTCACATCTGCAGGAGTGAGTTAGCAAGAGAGCAGCAAAGACCTCCACAAGCTGGAGACGGGCAGGAGACGCCTGGCTACTGCCTGCATACAAGCTTTACAAACTGTAACAAAAGGGTGGAATCATTTATCCAGGTCGGGTCGCTAAGATTCAGTTTCACTGTGGCTGTTTGAGTCGATAAAGACTTTTTCTAGCACTGCTGATCTGTTTTACAAATTTAAGATTGGATTCAAACTTTACCCCCAGATTCCTGACATAGTGACCCTGAGAGAAAACTGACACTGAACCAAGATCGACATTTGGCAAAGGAAAGAAACTCGGTGTCATGATCTGGCCTGTTTGCTCTCCCACCTGCCGTTTTCCCTCCCTGCCTCAATTATAATTTATTCCTCTCACCTGTTTGCTCTTGGTTATATTCAGTTCAGTCTGAGCATTCAGCGCAGATCATTATTTGTCTTTCTGTTAGCCTGTCTGTTATTTTTATTTCATTGTTCATGTCCTGGATCCTGTCGGCCAGTGGAAAGAGGTTTTTGTGTCTGTCTCGTCTCCCGATTGTCCACTGTTCCTCCCCCGAGGAGTCCTCTGGGTTTTTGGCTCAATATGTGGGGAGGAGACCAGTTTAAAGTCCTGCATCAAGTTCTGGTTCCACGTCCTGTCTCGGTTACACTCTTCCACTTATCCTGCTCTTCTGCACCTGATAATGTCTGCTCATGTGCATGACCACCTGGTCACGCTTTCGGACCCTGTCAGACTCTGAACCCTCCTGGGAGCTTGTGGATGCCTGGTAGGCTGGATTCTGCCACCTTTTTCTGTTCCTGTCTGTTCTGGATCCCTGACCAGGATCTGCTTCCAGCATGTCCTCTGGGACTGCAGCACTTGGGGACATTCTTGGACTGGACTGTTAAACCTGAGTGTCTGTGATTGGGCGGTGCCCCGCCCCCCTCCTGCAGTGTCAGCGAGCCACAGCTCCACTTTAATTTTTGTTTTATTTAATAAACTTTTTTGAACTTTCCTACTGACTGTCTCTCCTTGAATACTGGCTCCATCTGTCTGCGTTTCATGACACTCGGTCCAGATAACACGACTTCTGTACTGTTCGAATTTCGACTAAGGAAGTTAAGAGAGAGCCATGCTTTAAAGCAGGGGTAACTAAGTAAAAGTCAATGGGGTCCAAATAAAGAAAATCAACAACCATTTAACCATTATTATCTGTTACTTTAAACAGAATTTAACACTGAAATAAAATTAGGTGTTTATGCATCCATGTTATACTTTGCATTTTTAGATAAAAAAATCTAAAAAAAAAAAAAAAGAAAAAAGAAAATGTTTCCATATTAAAATCTAAATTGTTTTTGAAGTAGAGAACAACATCTTTCAGTTTGGTATATAGACAATTTCTTGATTCCCATATTTTTTAAAAGCCCTGAACTGACCGTTTGTTATTTTTCTTTCTTTATTCTGTCTTAATGTTGGCAGTGGGCTTTATGCTGCGCTGCAAGGCTTTAAACCTGGGTTTGAATGGAGACTAAGCCATTCTCAAGCACATATCAAGGTGCTCATTTTGAGCCTGGATCCAAATTTATTTTTGATTCTGTTCATGGTGGAGAATCCTGCTTCACAGCAGCAGGTTGAGCCAAACATCCTCTAAATGTGCAGGGTCATCTTTGAGCACCATTTCACTTTTCTTTCACCAGTTCACCGCAGTTCTTCCAGCAGTCCACACTTTCTCTGCTCTCTTTTTCTCATCGTCTTCTCCTTCTTTCCCATCGCCCGGCTTGCCACAGGTTTGCCTGCTGTGTCTAAAAGTAGCAGCAGCAGCAACCCAGACTGACAGCTCATTGGCTCATTTGGATCCTGTGTAGCCTGGTCCTGCTTATTCCTGTCAGGGTTTTGTCAGTACCTATCTTTGGCAGTCTATGGACAAGAGGCAGAGTAAGTTCAGCACACTGTCACAAGGCAACACAGAAACACACACCTAAGGGGATTTTAGAGAATCCAATTAACCAATCAGTCATGTTTTTGGACTGTGGGAGGAAGCTGGAGTACCTGGAGAGAATCCACACATGGGAAGGGAGAACGTACAAGCTCAATGCAGAAAGTCCCCGGGCCGGGAATGGAACCCAGAACCTTATTGATACAAGGCCACATAGCTACCCACTCCACCACCATGCAGACCTTGTCTTGTTTTTTGCAAACATATATGTGGCAGTCATCAGGTTCTAACAGTGTTTCATCTTTGATTGATGATTCCCCACAATAAAAAAAATAAAAAATAAATTCAGTTTTTTGGTTGAATTTACAAGATGAGTGACACATAATGAAGGAAAAGGTTTTAAGATCTTTATTATGGTCTCACTGTTCTCCAAAAGAAAAAAAAAATCTACCACTGTACCAGGGCTGTTGTAGCAACCTCTACATGAGGTTCTTTCTTTCCTTTAATTACTGACATTATTTGTGTCTATTGCCAAACACAGTAAAACATTAAACTGTTATGCCTTAAAAAAAAAAAAAAAACCTAATCCGGTTATTTCTTCAGATCCAGTTCAGTCTTAGAATATTGCTCAGCTCCTCGGTTGCGCTGCGTCAGGTTTGCATCTTTACTGCGGTCGTCTCTCGCTGCAGAGGAAGCAGATCATACACCACACACTGTCCTCCGGAGATATCTGCACTCCGCTGTGGCTTCGGAACGGCCTGAGTGCACAGGAGCCTGTTCAAAGAGAGGAGAGGCTCAATTCCACAAGATATGAATTCCTTCTGAAGGACTGAGTCATGTTTATTTCTCTGCAAATCTGTACGACGTAACATCATAACTCTGCTCAGAGTTGTTGCAATTATGGCAGGAAGCTGTCCCAGTCACTGGATAGGAAGCAGATCAAACCTTTGCATGAGACTTTATTCAATATAGTCACCAGTTTAATAAACTTGGACATGTTTGGACCACAGTATCCAGAGAAGGCCCACACACAGGCCAGTTATAGCCGACAAGCAAACTCAGTATGGACGTACAGGCAGTTTATGTGGTTGACCAAACACAAGGTAAATATTTATAACCTGAATACAAAAGATACCAGAGGATGTGTTTAGCTCTGCAAGAAGAAACAAATAAAAGGGGTTTATTGTAAGATACAATTAAAGGAAAAGTGCGGTCAGCAAGCAATAAACAATGGATCATTATTTATACCTAAAACTAATAGGTGTGCGGTGATTTAATGAAATTAAAGTAAAAAATAAATAAATAAATAAAAAAAATAATAATAATAATAATTTGCTTCTTTTTTTCTTTTTTTTAATAATTTTCGTGGCGATCACTGAGTCTGGGAGCAGCCATTTTTGCCCAAATATAGTAACACCTCCCTCCTGACATCTTCCAGCAGTGACGTCATGGTGCGGTAAGCCTAGCGCCATTCTCCCCGCTTTACAAGCTAAATCAATGGGAACTACTAGATGTGGTAATGTGGCCTTTTTAAGTTTATTGCATGTATTCTAATTTTTGATTTTCTTTATTTTTGAACTTGTTTGCTTGTTTTTTAATTTTGTGTGTTGCATGTTTTTTTGGGATTTTGTTTGGAGGCCACATTGCCACTCACACCTGGACACGCCCACAGCAACGGCACAGGTGTTCCCCATCAACCAAGCAGCGTGCCAACTGGGACGCTGATTTAAAAAGGCAGCTGTTTGGTTGGGGAGAGACCAGGACATGGGAAGGTTTGGTTGGAGACAGACACCGGACATGGGAAGGCCGATCTTGGAGGGAGCCGGACGGAGCGGGTGAGAGAGAAGCAGCGGGAGAGGTTTGGGGACTGACGGCCGGACGCCCGCCGGAGCGAGGCGCAGAGACGCCCGCCGGAGCGAGGGGCAGAGACACCCGACGGAGCAAGGGGCAGAGACGCCCGCCGGAGCGAGGGGCAGAGACGCCCGCCGGAGCGAGGTGCAGAGACTCCCGCCGGAGCGAGGTGCAGAGACGCGCACCGGAGCGAGGGGCAGAGACGCCCGCCGGAGCGAGGGGCAGAGACGCCCGCCGGAGCGAGGGGCAGAGACGCCCGCCGGAGCGAGGGGCAGAGACGCCCGCCGGAGCGAGGTGCAGAGACTCACGCCGGAGCAAGGTGCAGAGACGCGCACCGGAGCGAGGCGCAGAGACGCATGCCGGAGCGGGGTGCAGAGAGGCCCGTCATGGAGCGAGGCGCAGAGGCACGCTGGCTAGAGGCGCGTGTTGGAGTTGACCTCGCAGGCCAGCTATGCTGGAGAGGCCCACACGCGCAGCGTGCCGGAACGAGGATCCAGCGCTGGGGTGAAGGCGCGTGTTGGAGGTGACCTCGCTAAGGCCAGCTATGCTGGAGAGGCCCACACGCGCAGCGTACTGGAACGAGGATCCAGCGCTGGGGTGGACGGTGCCCTCCATTATACCCGCCGAGTGCGCGTCTTTTTAACAGACTGGCCCATTGACTCTGCTGCTCTTCACCATCTGGATTTTTATCTTTCTTTTTATCTTTTTTTTATTGGATTTTAATTGATTTTAACTTATCTTTTTATCTTTTATTGGATTTTAATCGTTTAAACTTTTTAAAGCTCTTCTCACAATCGCCGCAGTCTGTTTGGTTTTATTACATTTTTTTTTTTAGATGATCGCACCTCTCGGGTGCCACACTAGACACATCTGCAATCAACAACAATTATTGAAGATTTCCAGAGGACTTCACCATTGAAATTCAAGCTAGAGTTAAACTCTAGTTTAACTTGATTGTTGTAGCACATTGGGTAAAAGTGAAAAAAAATTTATTTCACATTTTCGGGAGGGAGGATTTGGCATCGAACTTCTGGCCAGAGAAAAAACACGTAATATGTAGCCAACATTTGGAAGAACAATGTTTTCAAGATGACTTGGCTAATAGCACGTTGTGACAAACACCAGATACAGCACTGGGACTTGATCAACAGCCGATACCGCACCGCGACGTCACAAACCAGTAGGTGGCAGTAGTGTTCTTTGACAAACATGGATGCCTCCAGTAAAGCACATTCAAATGAAAATTACTCTTAATTAAAAAAAAAAACGTATCATTTATTGAACAGTATGTAATAATTTCATATTTAAAGTAGTTTCAGAAGTTTGAATTCAGAATATGACCAGACTGGGGCGACAGTGGCGTTGGATGTAGGAGTTTGCCCTGAAATCGAAGGGTTGACGGTTCAAGCCCTGACTCTGACTTTCATTGTCGTTGTGTCCTTGGGCAAGACACTTCACCTGCATTGTCTACTGATGGTGGTCAGAGGGCCCCGTGGTGCCAGTGTACGGCAGCCAGTGAGCCCCAGGGCAGCTGTGGCTACAATGTAGCTTGCCACCGTGTGTGTGAATCGGTGAATGAATGTAGTGTAAAGTGCTTTGGTCAAGTCTCCTAACTTGAATAAAGGCGCTATATAAGTATTTACCATTTTCCTTTATATATTGTATTTAGATATGACAGTGCACTTGGTCTGCCATGAGAAACTGCAGTGATCCATAATTTAGAGATAAATCTCTGAAGGAAAGGCTGGGGGGGAAAAAGGCAACAGAAGACGGTTTCCAGTCTGAAACAAACCATGCAAAGAACCTTGAACCATCTCCATGTGGAGACAAGGTAGAGGAGCCATCATGCTGTGGGGACAGGGAGCTGTAGAGAGCTTAAATGGAGATCAGTGGAGCTCAATACTGAATAATTCATGAAGAAAACCTCTTGGAGGCTTTAAAAGACTAAAAACTGGGGCAGAGCTTTAACGTCCACCTAACAAAGACCCCCAACATACAGATGGGCTACAATAGCAGCTTCTTTAGGCTGGATCAAAGTGGTGTTATGTGTTAGAATGGCTTAGTCCATATTCAGACCTAAACACAATTGTTAATGTTTCCCAAGACTCAAAATCTCTTCACCTTTATCAAATTTAGATAACATCCATCAGTCTTTTTCTAGGTATGCAAAGGTGATAGAGATACACCACAAAATACTGTAGCAGCAGCTAAACGAGAACTAGAAAGAAAAACTCTGAATGCTGAGTGATTGAATGCATATGCCCTTTACAGGTTCATATTTGGAGTATAGAAAATGATATTAAAAGCCAACTTTTCCTCGTCATTATACAATTATCTCTGATGTGCACTGGTTTATCACATAAAATCCCAGCATGAGCCCATTGTTGGGAGCTGGAGAAATTCCACCTTTCTCCAGCAGAGTCCGCCGTGGATCCTCTGAGGGAACCTCCTGCACACCTGCAGCTCGTCAAGATCATCAGAGGATCCACTACTTAAGCTGTCTTCAGACCTTGCCTCAACGCCGCAGTGTTGTTCCAGTTGGTCAGCGCTTAAGCCTAGATCCTCTGAGTAACTCGATGACTTTTGAATCCAGCTTGGATTCTAATCCTTGTCTCTGTTTTCCAGGAAACCTGTGCCTCCTCTGTGAAAGCTCAGAAAGAGCTAACCTGCCGAGCCGACCCTCAGAGCCAAACCCGAAGAATCACAGAGAACCTCCAAGCAGCTCTGGACTAGAGCTGGGAAACCCTAAACCAAGGTCTGTTCATGTTAGACGTGAGACACTGAAGCAGCAAACGGATTCTGCTGATGAACTCTTCTCCAGACGCAACAGAGACTCTCCCAAAGCTAACCTCAAGAACCCTCAAGGTACAATCAGTAAACTTCAGGAAATCAAACCTCTGTTGGCAACGCTAACTGAACTGTCTCTCACGCAGACTCCGGTGAACCAGTATCCAGGCCCCGAACCTGAACCAGTAGATTCTGTGTGCTTGTGCTTCAATAAACTGTTAAACTTTCATCCCTGTGTCCGTCAGTGGTGTTCTGCATTTTTGGGTCGCTTTTAGTGAACCCATCATGACAGAACACTGCGGCCAAACTCAAGGCCCAGCAGATCACCTCACCCGTCGACTAGAGGAGCAGGATGCCCAAATTCAAGGACAAACCCAAACGCTCCGTGAGATATACCGCCTGGTTGACACTCATAACCACATGCTACAGAGCTATGCTAATTATCTGAGCAGCGCTAATGCTGCACAACAACCATTTCCGGGTCCAGTCCCTCCTCCGAGGTCACCAGCAGTGACGTCATCAGAGTACCGTCCTAGTCTCCCAGAAAGATTTTCTGGTAACATGAAAGATTGCAAAGGATTTTTATTTCAATGTCGATTGATTTTTCAGAACTCCCCTGGCAGCTTTTCCACGGATTACTTTCATTCTCTCACAGTTAACAGGAAGAGCCTTGGAATGGGCTCAGGCAAGATTTGCCGCTGACGATAGCTTAAACTGCTACTACTCTGATTTCATCTCTGAATTTACCCAGGTATTCAACCAAGAAACTGACCAAACAATTGATTCCAGAGCTCTTTTCAACCTAAAACAGGGAAACTCTTCGGTGGCTGAATTTTCCATTAACTTCCGGGTTAAAGCGGCAGCTTCCGGATGGAACCAAAGCGCTCTTAAGGGAGCCTTTTTCATGGCATTAAATGAGCACATTAAAGATGAGCTCGCAACCCTCGACGAACCTGCTACCCTCGAAGATCTAATTCGCCTCTCCATTAGATTGGATAATAGAATTCGTGCCAGAAACAGTTCTAAGAAGCAGGGTACACTTTCTTCTGCCTCACATAACGTGACTGTTTGTTCTTCCTCTACAGATCAGCTGCCCATTCAGAGGCCTAAGTCCCAGTCTCTACCGTTGCCTATTCAGGCCTCTCATTCGGGCGAACGGGATGTCGAACCCATGCAGGTGGGACACACTAGGCTCACTCCAGAGGAGAGGCAAAGGCGTTTTCTAAGCAAACTATGTATCTACTGTGGTGAGAGTGGACACTTCATCGCTTCCTGCCCGGCTAAATCAAAAGCCTGGGCCCGCCAGAGGATCTGAGGAGTCTGGCAGGCCAGATAAACACAAAGAAATCTCCTCGACTGTTACTTCCTGCCACGTTGTTCTGTGCTAACCAAAGCCTCTCTTTTTCTGCATTCATCGACTCAGGCTGTGAACGTAACCTTATCGATTCTAACCTCGTCCAGCAACTCCAAATTGAAACCATTCCTCTGACTCAGCCTCTCAGTGTATCCGCTATTGACGGAAAAAGACTCCATCAAGTTACCCATCAAACTCTGCCCCTCGAGCTACTTCTGTCAGGTAACCACCGAGAAACTATAACATTTTTTGTTTTTCCCTCTGCATGTTCCCCATTGGTGCTTGGTTTCGAATGGTTGGAGAAGCATAATCCTCACATAAACTGGACTGAACGTCACCTGGAATCATGGTCCATCTCATGCCATGAAAAATGCCTTCGTTCTGCTGCCCCCTTGGTGGGGTCTCCTAGAGGTGGGGGGGAGATGGACTCTCCTGACCTTTCTTCAGTTCCTTCTGAGTACCATGACCTAGCCCCGGTTTTCAGTAAGGTCAGTGCGACGTCCCTACCTCCACACAGACCATACGATTGCGCCATTGAACTTTTACCTGGTGCTCCTCTACCTAGCAGCAGATTGTATAATATTTCCAAGCCTGAGAGAGAAACCATGGAAAAATACATCAACGAATCATTAGCTGCTGGAATAATCCACCCATCATCCTCTCCATTGGGTGCCGGTTTCTTCTTCGTGGGGAAGAAGGATGGTTCCCTGAGACCTTGTATTGACTATCGAGGTTTGAACCAGATTACTATTAAGAACAAATACCCACTGCCTCTCCTTACCTCTGCTTTTGAACCCGTACAGGGAGCTACTGTGTTTTCGAAACTGGATTTAAGAAACGCTTATCATCTCCTTAGGATCCGTGAAGGCGACGAATGGAAGACTGCCTTCAAAACTCCCTTGGGCCAATTCGAATATCTAGTAATGCCCTTTGGTCTAACTAACGCTCCAGCTTGCTTCCAGGCCCTTGTCAATGATGTTCTCAGAGACTTTCTCAATGTATTTGTTTTCGTGTACATTGACGACATACTCATTTACTCCAAGAACCTCGATGAACACAAGAAACATGTCCGCCTTGTTTTACAGAGACTGCTGGAGAACAAGCTGTTCGTGAAAGCCGAGAAGTGCGAATTTCATCAACCTTCAGTCACCTTTTTGGGGTTTGTGCTCGAGGGCGGCCAGGTAAAACCATCTGAGGACAAGATTAAGGCAGTTTTGGACTGGCCAGTTCCAGAGAACCGCAAACAGCTACAAAGATTTTTAGGTTTTGCTAACTTCTATCGCCGGTTTATCAGAAACTACAGCCAGACCGCCCTTCCATTAACTTCTCTGACCTCTGTCAAACGCATTTTTCAGTGGACTCCTGAGGCTCAAGCAGCGTTTGATAAATTAAAGTCTTTATTTTCCAAAGCACCTGTTCTTATGCAACCTGACCCAGCCAAGCAGTTTATTCTAGAGGTGGATGCTTCAGATTCTGGTGTTGGAGCAGTCCTATCCCAGAGACTGGATTCAGATCAAAAAATACACCCTTGTGCTTTCTTCTCCCGTAGACTTTCTTCTGCTGAGCAAAATTACGATGTGGGTGACCGAGAGCTTCTAGCCATTAAACTGGCGTTGGAGGAATGGAGACATTGGCTGGAGGGAGCTGAGCATCCGGTTCTTGTATGGACTGACCACAAGAACCTGGCTTACATCCAGTCAACCAAGCAAGCTAATCCCCGCCAATCCAGGTGGTCAATTTTCTTCTCTCTGTTCAATCTCATCATCTCCTACAGACCCGGATCCAAGAATGTCAAACCCGACTCTCTCTCTCGTCTCTACTCCGTCGATCATCCCGAGACACCTGAACCTGTTCTTCCGGCTTCCTGCACAGTGGGAGTGGTCAACTGGGAGATAACTGACCTCATCAACTCAGCCCTGGCCACCGAACCCGATCCAGGTAACGGTCCCACTAACCGAACCTATGTTCCATCTTCCGTCAGGTCCCGTCTCATCCAATGGATGCACTCCGCCAAATTCTCAGCTTATCCAGGAGTCAGTAGAACTGTAGCTCTCATCTCTAGACGCTTCTGGTGGCCCACTCTCCACAGGGACGTTAAGGAGTATGTGTTGGCTTGCCCCACATGTGCCCGTAACAAAGCCTCACACCAACCTCCTTCTGGCCTGCTTCAGCCGCTCCCTGTTCCCTCGCGTCCTTGGTCCCATATCGCCATTGATTTCGTCACTGGTCTCCCCGTCTCTCGAGGTATGTCCACCATATTCACCATTGTTGACCGTTTCTCGAAGTCCTGCCATCTTATTCCCCTCAGAAAACTTCCCACGGCCTTCCAGACAGCCCAGCTTCTCATCAAGCATGTTTTCCGGTTACACGGCATTCCCCAAGAGATCCTCTCGGACAGAGGTCCTCAGTTCATTTCCCAGGTCTGGAAGGCTTTCTGTTCTGCTCTCGGCTGCAAACCCTCTCTCACCTCTGGTTACCACCCCCAATCGAATGGTCAGACTGAGAGAATGAATCAACTGTTGGAATCAACCCTTCGCTGCCTCACTTCAAACAACCCCGTGGACTGGAGCCAATTTCTCCCGTGGATAGAATACGCACATAACTCCCTCAGATCTGCATCCACTGGACAATCCCCGTATCAGGTTAGTCTCGGCTATCAACCACCTCTTTTCCCCGCAGACGAGAGAGAGATTTCGATCCAGTCCGTAAATCAACACATCCACCGTTGTCAAAGAATCTGGAGGGAAACCATCGCCACCCTCAATCAGTCATCTGAGTCCATTAAACGCTTCGCCGACGCCAGGAGACGTCCCACCCCCGAGTACACTGAGGGCCAGTAGGTATGGCTATCCACTCGAGACATTCCCCTCAAGGGGATGTCTCGAAAGCTCTCTCCTAGGTTCATCGGACCCTACAAGATCACTCGAGTCATCAACCCCTCAGCCGTCCGTCTCCAATTACCTCAGTCACTCCGGATCCACCCTACCTTCCACGTGTCCCAGATCAAGCCTGTCTCCTCGAGCCCTCTGTGCCCACCGTCCGACTCCCCACCACCCACCCTGGAGGTCGATGGTCATCCAGCATTCACAGTTCGACGCATCGTGGACTCCCGTCGACGAGGTCGCGGATGGCAGTACCTCGTCGACTGGGAGGGCTACGGACCGGAGGATCGCCAGTGGGTTCCGGGCTCGTACATCCTCGATCCTGCCCTTATTGAGGAGTACGAGCGTTCCTGCCCATCAACCTCTTCCGGACCGCCAAGGGGCGGTCGTTGAGGGGGGGGGGTACTGTTGGGAGCTGGAGAAATTCCACCTTTCTCCAGCAGAGTCCGCCGTGGATCCTCTGAGGGAGCCTCCTGCACAGCTGCAGCTCGTCAAGATCATCAGAGGATCCACTACTTAAGCTGTCTTCAGACCTTGCCTCAACGCCGCAGTGTTGTTCCAGTTGGTCAGCGCTTAAGCCTAGATCCTCTGAGTAACTCGATGACTTTTGAATCCAGCTTGGATTCTAATCCTTGTCTCTGTTTTCCAGGAAACCTGTGCCTCCTCTGTGAAAGCTCAGAAAGAGCTAACCTGCCGAGCCGACCCTCAGAGCCAAACCCGAAGAATCACAGAGAACCTCCAAGCAGCTCTGGACTAGAGCTGGGAAACCCTAAACCAAGGTCTGTTCATGTTAGACGTGAGACGCTGAAGCAGTAAACGGATTCTGCTGATGAACTCTTCTCCAGACCCAACAGAGACTCTCCCAAAGCTAACCTCAAGAACCCTCAAGGTACAATCAGTAAACTTCAGGAAATCAAACCTCTGTTGGCAACGCTAACTGAACTGTCTCTCACGCAGACTCCGGTGAACCAGTATCCAGGTCCCGAACCTGAACCAGTAGATTCTGTGTGCTTGTGCTTCAATAAACTGTTAAACTTTCATCCCTGTGTCCGTCAGTGGTGTTCTGCATTCTTGGGTCGCTTTTAGTGAACCCATCATGACACCCATAGGTTGTTAAAATATGAGAAAATGTTCAAGGAACGTGAATACTTCTGTTCACAGCATATAAAGAAAAAGGTTTTTCTAGCTTCTGTAGAAAACCAAACACTACCAAGGATGAAGTAGGCAGCCGCACTGAGTGAGAGGATGATGAGGAAGATGGTGCCTAGACCCAGATCCCCAGTAGTGCAGGCATTTGGACAGGCGCAGGGGCTCTCCACCCAGATGTGCAGGGGGCCCTCTCTGCTGAGGCTCTGCAGTCGGATGATGGAGGATGACTGGTTGGGATTGCAGTGGAAATGAGCTGCAGTCATTGGCTGCTTCCTGTGAGCTGGATGGGTAGATAAAGACTGAGGCCACATCATGCTGAATAGAAATACTAAACTATGACAAGGTTTGTGTTTCAGCTCACCGAAATACATCACAGACAGCATCTTCAGAGTGTGGTTATAGTGGAACTCATTTCCTTCATGTGTCCCATAGTTTACATAGTGGCTGGTGAGTCCATGGACCCCTGGATTCCTCATTAAACAACAGAAACATCAGAACTAAGACAACTTTGTTTGAATCTGATAAAACTAGATAATAAAGTTAACAGAAAAAAATGTAACAAAAACATTAGAAAGCGCTAAACTTAATAAATAAACCACAATAATCACATTTAATTCTACCAAATACCAGCTTTAGGATGCGCTTCTACTGATCAGTGATTTGATCAAGCTTAGGGCTCCCCCTGGCGGCCAGAACATTTATAACAGCTGGAGCAACGAAGCATTTTAATTGCTCTAAAATGCTTCCTGTTTTTATTGAAGTTAAAAAAAATGAGTCAGATTAAACTGTAATGGTGACAGGAAAGCAGTAAAGCAATTAATATAAAAGCTCAACATTTGACTTTATTACAATGGGATCAAACTCCAAGGCAAACTCTCCTTTTGAGCTGCTCTGGTTTTCTGCTTTATGAATTTACTGCTCTGCTCAGCATCATTTCTGCTTTATTTTTGTATTTAATGTTGATTTTTATTTTCTATTTAACTGCTAATAATTCTTCTGGGTTAGGATGATTCAAATGAGCACTGCTCCCTGGGCGCTGCACAGTGGCAGCCCACTGCTCCCCAACGGGATGGGTTAAATCCAGAGTTTATTTTGTTGCTCTGTACTTGTGACAGGTTAATGACAACAAAAATTGGATTGTTTTTCAGTAATGAAATATGTTCATCAAATCTGTCCTTAACGTAAAAATATTTAGAAGGTTTCTAGATCCCATAACTCTGTAATGCTGTAAATACACTCACCGGCCACTTTATTAGGTACCCCATGCTAGTAACGGGTTGGACCCCCTTTTGCCTTCAGAACTGCCTCAATTCTTCGTGGCATAGATTCAACAAGGTGCTGGAAGCATTCCTCAGAGAGTTTGGTCCATATTGACATGATGGCATCACACAGTTGCCGCAGATTTGTCGGCTGCACATCCATGATGCGAATCTCCCGTTCCGCCACATCCCAAAGATGCTCTATTAGATTGAGATCTGGTGACTGTTGAGCCATTTGAGTACAGTGACCTCATTGTCATGTTCAAGAAACCAGTCTGAGATGATTCCAGCTTTATGACATGGCGCATTATCCTGCTGAAAGTAGCCATCAGAAGCTGGGTACATTGTGGTCATAAAGGGATGGACATGGTCAGCAACAATACTCAGGTAGGCTGTGGCGTTGCAACGATGCTCAATTGGTACCAAGGGGCCCAAAGAGTGCCAAGAAAATATTCCCCACACCATGACACCACCACCACCAGCCTGAACCGTTGATACAAGGCAGGATGGATCCATGCTTTCATGTTGTAGACGCCAAATTCTGACCCTACCATCCGAATGTCGCAGCAGAAATCGAGACTCATCAGACCAGGCAACGTTTTTCCAATCTTCTATTGTCCAATTTCGATGAGCTTGTGCAAATTGTAGCCTCAGTTTCCTGTTCTTAGCTGAAAGGAGTGGCATCCGGTGTGGTCTTCTGCTGCTGTAGCCCATCTGCCTCAAAGTTCGACGTACTGTGCGTTCAGAGATGCTCTTCTGCCCACCTTGGTTGAAACGGGTGGTTATTTGAGTCACTGTTGCCCTTCTATCAGCTCGAACCAGTCTGGCCATTCTCCTCTGACCTCTGGCATCAACAAGGAATTTTCGCCCACAGAACTGCCGCTCACTGGATGTTTTTTCTTTTTCGGACCATTCTCTGTAAACCCTAGAGATGGTTGTGCGTGAAAATCCCAGTAGATCAGCAGTTTCTGAAATACTCAGACCAGCCCTTCTGGCACCAACAATCAGTCACCACGTTCAAAGTCACTCAAATCACCTTTCTTCCCCATACTGATGCTCGGTTTGAACTGCAGGAGATTGTCTTGGCCATGTCTACATGCCTAAATGCACTAAGTTGCCGCCATGTGATTGGCTGCTTAGAAATTAAGTGTTAACGAGCAGTTGGACAGGTTTACCTAATAAAGTGGCCGGTGAGTGTAGTTTGCTGCTGATTTGAGCTCTATGCTACAGATCACAGAATGAACCTAAGAAGGTTCCTCTGTTTTTAGCTCCACATTTGTCCCTTAAACACAAAAAATGCTATTGGTTTTCACTCTTTGGTTGCAAATCTCAGTCCATAAAATGACAAACATTAATGACCTAAATGTCTTTTTATTTTTTATCTTGCTAAAAAAAAAAAAAAAACTTTTTTTTTCTTGTAAAAAGTAAAAGGTTTCTGTGCCTAGAAATGTCAAAATATTGCAGGTAACTTTATTTTTTGTGCAAAAGGATTTTATTTTCTCTTCCAAATGTAAAATTTCAGTACATTAAATAATAATTTTTGTCTAGTATAAAGCAGTAAAATGTTAACCTTGGAACAGCAAAGTTCCAAAACCAGGAAACTCGAGCTGTTATGCTAGTTTAATTGATTAATTTAAAAAATAAAGGCAACAAAAGAAGCTATTGTTACAGATAGGGTTTTATTTACTTTAAAAAGTTTTGTAAAAGTATATAAATGTGATGTTATTTAAATTAAAAGAACTATAGTTAGAACAAACAATCACAACAGTGAAGTCTTGTTCTTCTACCTGAAGATGAGGCAAGCAGCAACGTTGGTGCAGTTTCCTCCCAGCAGGTCCTCTGGCTGAGAGAAGAGCTGACAGGGGCTGAAGGAAAAGAGGATCTGTGTGTCCACAGATGGGCCCTCCACTGGCACGGCCCTCAAACGCCCCAGGAAACCGTCTGCGTCGCCCATGGCTCTCAGGTTTATCACTCCGCTGCCATCCTTCATGATGCATTTGCAGCTGTTAACTTTAAAGCAGCCTGGATTGTCTGCAGGGTTGGAGAGAGACGGAGAGGAAGAAGAAAACACACAGAAACAGACAGACAGCGAGAGGAGGCCTGCTGAGAGTCTCATGCTGATCAACTGCTCCTCAGGAAAGGATGGTAAGTAGCTGCATGTTGCTGGGGGACTAAAACAACTGGCAGCATTGTGATGATAGAAAAATAATTAGAGTGAAGGTGACAGGCCTTCTGGGCAGGGCTTGGTGTTCAGAACACCGTCTGGATTTCTACATTGAACTAGTTTGTTTGGATGATCCACCAGGATGATTCCAGAGTTTAAAGGGCCTAAAAAAATTTATTCAAAGCATCTTAGTGCTAAAAATAGTATAAAGAAAGTAGAGGGATAAAATCCTGGCTGATAATGAAAATGTTCCAGACTTTATTGTTTTCCAACATGATAATACTCTAGGAAAGCATTTTCCCCGTATTTTCACACTGACATGTAAACTCAGCTGTTTCACATCATCAAACACTTCATGTCAAAGATAACTAGAGCATCACAAAGTGCATTTTTCAATTGGTTTTTCTTTTTGCTAAAAGGTGTCCAGTCACCTACTATGACCTACTCTGTTGACTTTTTATATTTAATTTTTGATTAACACTTTGATATTACTCCATTTGTTAGTTTCCTGTTAACAATATTATGTATTCATAATAATGAAAAGTAGGTAGAATGTTGCGCCCAAATAAAAAGAGCTGTCATATGTGGACGCACTGTATATATGGTATATTATCCCATGCACCTTTTTCTTCTGCTTTGACTGTTTGAGCTGATGTAATGAGTAAATTCCTCTGCTGTGCAGGGGCGGAGCTTGATGGAGGGCCAGGGGTGGCCATGGCCACACTTAGCCAATCATTGGCCACCCCTACTATTGTTTTCCCTCTAATATAGACAGTAGCAGCAGCAATACTCTCAAGTGGAATATTCAAAACATTTCATTTTTTTGTGGGTAATTATACACATCAATATACTAACATCAAAGATGATAAGTACAGAATTAATGCTCTTTTCAGAACTAGATTTTGTCTTATATGGGGTAAAGAGAAAATTATGTAAGTCATCTAGGAGTCTTCATTGAAATCAATGACAAATAAGTTTAATAAGAAATTATCAAATAACCGATTTATGTAAATATTCCTGCTTGTAAATATAAATGTTATGCCGAACGTTTATTGATAAAAGTAGGTAAGTAATGACAATGGAAAAGATTTATGCCCCAGAACTTAAAACTGAAAGAGTTTTATCAACTATACCGTTTACCTAGAAATTACGGATGTTTAAATATATGTTTTATGTATTATTGTTAACAAAGGCTGTAGGAAAGTTTAGTTTGTCTTTATTTATAAAATAAATAGATTGTTAATTTTCCTTTAGGAACAGTGTAGATTGACCCTGAGGTTCTGCGGCTTTCTGCCACCCCTCAGTGTACAACGTCTCATCTTTCAAAGTTTATTATTAAAATGATCCAGAAATGTGGAGCAGCCTAACAGGAATAGGAACATTTCAGCCGTTGGGTTTTTATTTTAATTTTCTCGTTCTGTCATCCTTTTCCTCTCAGTTATCACTCAACTTATCTGAATTAAAGTTAATTTCAAATTGACTCTTGTCTTGTTTGAAATGAATTTATGAAATGGTTGGAACTGATCTCTGTAAAGGCCTTTAACATTCTAGACCTGGATCATCTGCCCATGGGAAGGCCATTACTTTTCCACACTGAAGAAATACCTGGTAGAACATTAATGGGAAAGAGTCCTGTTCCTCAGAGGGATCATATATGAATGATATATGAATAATTTATGTATAAATATAAATGATATTTTAAACCAAATTGTGCTTAGCGCTTGCTGCTGTGGTATAAAACCACAGCTTAAGCTTATAAACCTAAATATAATTGTTAACTAGGTTTATAACTTTTGAACTTTACTTTTTTCAATAAGCTTAAATTCCTCAAATTAATTTACAGTAGGTAATATATCATTCAAGGGCTCATCTAATTGGTCAAAAGCCAAAATAAGATATACAGCGATGTAGGAGCATCTTTGCTGAATGGCTGGATATAGATCTTGTGCTTCTAGACATCACCAAGGGATGTGCAGGTAATCAAAAATCGGTAAATTGCCCTATAAAAGGTTAAAACCAATACTTTGATTTAAGCACTTTATCCCTTGTTCCACTTGTCTCCTGTGTCACCGCCCCCTGCTGGTCAGTCTCCAATGGCTCATTAATCATTACAAACCAGCTTCAGTATTTCAGTTCAGTATGTTTTACTATCAGTTTAATATCCTTATTAACTGGGCCACTTAGATACCAATAATGTTGTAAAAATTTAGCTTTATATCCATAAATAATCTACCAATACATATTTTTGTAATTTGTGTGTGAATGATTTGTCATTTAAACAAACCGGGTTTTTGGGGATGACCTGGTATAAAGTGGGTAATAAAAACAGGTCAGAAACAATTACACACCGAAAGATTTTTTTATTTCACCTAAAATAAAAAAATCAAGCTTTGACAGCAAATTTGCGCATCGAGTAGAGGAGGTCTTTCCTCTGCTGTTTCTTTGTGCGCAGACTCTCTTCGTTCTTGTTGAGGCGGCGGCGCATCGCCCTGGTCTTCTTGGGCCTCAGGTCCAGGGGCTTGTATTTCTTGCCCTGGAAAAGTTAAGTTAGGTTTCAGTGGAGGCGATAAATGGGCCTGCTGAAAAAAAGTGTTTAAACATTTAATCTCAAAACAAGCAAACGAAAACTCCAATCCCCATGCAAATAGGACATTAGTGATTTCATTCTTAAAAGCGCCGATATGGTTACATAATCGACCAAATATCTCAGCATCATTGCAGCCAGGATAACAAGGACTCAGTAACAGTCATCTCAAGTCTCAGTCTTTCGGTAAGCAGTTTTTTTTACAGTCAGTGTAACATCAGCTCAACGTCTATCATCACAGACCAGAGAAACTGAAAAGTCCCCATCATGCAGCTGCATGTTCAGTGAGCCTAAGGAAGGCGAATGAAGCTCTCACCTTGTAGAACTTCCTCAGATTCTCCTTCTGCGTCTGGTTGATTACAGTCAGTACCCGGGCGATGGATTTGCGAACGACACGGCTGTGGAGCGTCAACGGAGAGGGTCAGAAAGCGGTTCAACCCAACAATTAATCATACAATTAATTTACTGGTCCCATTTCTTTTTTGCAAACACCAGAATTTGCTTGGTACCTTAATGTAATAATTGTTCAGACCAAACAGCTCCAATACACATTAAAGCTGCAGCATTTAAATGAACAAACTTTGCCCTTTACAACACAAACAAACAAACAAAAAAAAAAACAAAAAAAATGCTTTATCTATTATATTCCACCCCACAGCAGAAATACCAAGCTAATTAAAAAAAACTCTTAGTATGAGGAGGCTTAATTGATATTAATGTTTCTAATGACTGATAAAGTACCATTTGTTTCCTACTTAGAGATAAGATTATTTTGATCTAACCACAAGAAAATTCACTTAATTGAAAGCTGATTAACAGGCTTTTGGTCTACTGCAATCATTATAATCAGCTGTGCTAAAGCAGAGAAACCTCTAAAACCTGCAGGACAGGGGGGCTTGGGGACCGAGTTTGGGGATGCCTGCTATAGAGTAAAGCCATCTATGGTCCATTTTCAAATTAGTTTGGAAGTGGTCTTGCATAAAAAACTTTCCAAAAGCATGATCTAATCTTAATATGTTTTACAGGGAAAGCTTATTAGTCATGTCTTAAGATTCCAGGGGAATAAGTAGTTATACGCTTTAATCTAACCCACTTGCTAAGGCCCCAATCTTTAACTTCGCTGCTCTCAGTTCCTGTCTGTCAAGATGATGCCACTAATTCAAAATATAAAAAACACCTTGAAATATTCAGATTATCCTGGTTTCTTACAATTTTTTTCCTTACGGTTCAATTTCGAAAAAGAAAAACCTTAAAACAATCAAGTTAAATTGTGCAAACTGTGCTAGGGGTGTAAATAATAATCGTTTTGTATCGATGCATCGATCCAAAAGCCGACGATCCGATGCATCGACACGTCCGCAAGAGAATCGATTCATGTTTTTTTTTTCCTCCGGTCTATTTTTATCCATTTGCTCCTGGGTGTAATTCCCCCTCCCGTGCTGCGGTGGCGCTAAACCTATTATGCCCTCCTACCGCTCTTCCTGGTTATACTCTTACAGCAGTTTGTTGCAGCAAGCTTGACACAGACATTTTTAAATTATGCTCAGTATTGAAGCGTGGTCTGGGCTACACGCTGTGGGTCTAGATACGGCCGAGGCGATGAGGAAGTGGGGGCGAGTTTAGTCCGACGACGGAGGGACAATGGGGCAAAAAGAGCGGAGATTCAGCTGGAAAAAGGGTCCCAGCGGTCTCGCGCACCTCGCTCTTCTAGCGGGTCGAACTTCACGAGTTGTTTTCCGCAATTTCGGTCATAAAAACAAAACAAGCCGGCCTCCTGTCTGCGGCACTGTTTGCAATCAGCTACAATCTGGGAGAGGTGCAGCGTCTCTCAAGGGGGCGGTGACGTCGACACTGGAGCCTTCTTCTTCTTTTATTTAATGGCGGTTGGCAAACAACTTATAGGTGCATTACCGCCACCTTCCAGAATGGAGTATGGACCAGACAAATTATATTCTCCCTAAAATACCCGTTCTTCTTAGAAAATTAAAAATACTACCAAAAACTACATCCCCAGATGACCTTTGAAACAATTTCCTTATATCTAGTTTATTTTTATTCCTGTCTAACTCTCTACGCAACATCTCTCTTTCCTGAGTATATTTATTACATTCTAAAAAAATATGTTGGACAGTTTCTCTGGAGCCGAGGTATTGCATTGAACGCATTACACTGATATTGTGCAGTATTTTTGCAGAATTTTTTGATGCAACTTTTCTACTTCTGTTATTTGCTGTTGTTTCTAAAGAAAATGCATAATGATATTACAGCTTTCATTGATTTATTTCAAACTTGAAACTTTGTTTAGCCTGTAAGGTGTGAAAAAAAAAAAAAAAAATAATAAAAAAAATAACCGATTAATCGATTAATCGAATCGTGGTGTATTCTTGAGTATCGAAAATAATCGAATCGTTGGTTCAGGAAATCGATACTGAATCGAATCGCCATGATGGATGTGATTTACACCCCTAAACTGTGCTATACTATGGTTTAGTTCTTGATTTTCACTGTGCCAAAAATTAAAAACTTCCTAAAAATCAAAAGGCACGTGTTCAGATATTAATCACCATGACACTTTCCTTTTAAAAGATTGAGAATAAGGTGTAAACTAAAAAAACATTGTCAGCATCCATACTTTAATAATGATTCCATTCTGAGAGCTTTCTAGATAAGGCATAATTTGAAGGGAAATTACACCAATGTCTGGAACAGTAAATTAACTATTAGCCATAATGTTTTGGAAGCAGAACCCCTCTGTCCTTACAGGCACGTGGCCAACACGTTGCTAGTTTGTTTAGATGGAGAGATGCTCCAAAGCAGCAGCCATGCTGCTTACACTCACATCTTGGAGAGCTTGGAAGCGGCTCCTCCGGTCACTTTGGCCACACGCAGCTGGGACAGCTCATTCTTCAGGTCATCCAGCTGCTTCAGCAGCTCCTCCTTCTTCTTGCCCCGCAAATCTCTTGCCTTAATCTTGGCCTGAAACCCAACAGAAGAAAAGACTAATCAGATATTGCTCCTTCCAGATTACACATAAGCAGTCTTTACATTTCCGTCTTCGCTACTGCTGGGGGTTCATCTTAGGATTAAAATAAAATAGCCATTTAACAAAAATCAACATTACCAATTCAACTGCTGCGAATAATTCAGTGTAAGATTAATAATAATCAGTTTCTATGCATAAAACCTATTAGTCATCGGTCCCTCCACCGTGTTTCTCCGGCTAAGTGTTAGCTTCCAAATGTAGCAGCATTGCTCGGTGAGAGCGCTCCATTATCTGAATAATTCCTACTAAACTGCTGTAGCCCAAACCTCAACACGTCCACTGAAGGGAACATAAGAACCTTATGTAGAGGTAGAGCCTTGATAATAGTGGTTAACAAAGTTTTAAAATGGAAATATTCAAGTTTTCTTCTGGAGAGTAAGCTCCTCACCATGTTCGTCGTCGAAGCCCTGTTAGAAAGGCCGGACGCACCGCGTGCTCACAAAAAGTAGCTTCCGGAAAAAAACTGTCCGACTTCACGCCAGATTTTACCAACAGCGCCCCCGTGCGTACGGAGTTTTTAACACAGCGAACTCAACCAAAGGGACGCGAGCAATTATTTTTAATATCTGCATTTTAAAGGACATTTTAACTAAAAAAAATAAATAAAAAAAACGTCGTTTGAGAAATTCATCCCAGATAATCCCGGTACATGTATCAGTTTCTCACATATATACACACACATATATAAATATATATATACACATACATATATATATATACACATATATATGTGTATACTCATTGTCCCAAGGGGACCAATAATAGGTCTCCATGCTGCCATATATTATTTAAATTAATAAGTGACTGACAGACTGCTGTTTTGAAAGAAACAAAAAGATGGAGCAGATGCATCTGAAACACGCCAAGTTTCCTGAGTACCAAGGGTTTTGTTATACCAAGGGTATAACAAAAATGAAGCTTCTAGATCCCACACATTTATTCAGATGTAGCCTTGTTGCTAGAATAGAGATTAGGAGGGGGAAAAAAACAGCAGTGGGTTCCTTTAATTTAAGTCAATAACCAATCTCTTCCATTGTAGAAAAAAAGAAAATAAGCCAAAAAAAAAAAAAAATAGTAAGGTTTGGACTCTGAAATCTGGTTTCATGACCTTTGGGTTTATTCATAATCACCATTCAAAAGTAATCAACTGTAGTTGCAGGCATCATTAAATCATAGAAAAGCTGGAGACGAAACTGTAGTGATGGAATAGTAGGTTAAAAAGACCTTACACGGCTTAACTTATGATTACATACAGCTTCCAATGACATCCATCACACCCAGATAGTCAGTATGACTAGCCTGCTACCAGTCATTAGGTAAACAAGATAACCTGACAGCTGTGTTTAAAGGGTTTCCTGTATCCCAGAAACACAAATCAATATTTCAGAAAAAGAATAGTGTCTGAAAGTCAGGACTGAAGGGAAACATAGAGCAGAGGGACTGATGGAGACATTTCAACGCTAAAGATAAATACAATAAAACCATTTCATTAAAATATTTACACCCCAATTTAGAAAAAATCTCAATGCATACAGTATGTACATATCTCTATACATAAACAGACATGTTGGAATGTAAGTTTATTTACATATACATAGTATTCATCTCATCTTTTAAATACAGTTGCACCTGTAGAGCAGATCCAGGTAATATTGCTAGCACTGGGGGCCAAGAACAGCAAGACATTGCTGGGCAGTCACAGAGAGGCCCCTGACTGGCATTCAGTTAGGGCCCATTGTTAGTCTTTTTAATACATCATTATTAAAACATTAGGTTAAATTAAGGCCATTAAGTATTTAGCTCACCACACAGTGGGAGGTGAAATGTTGCTTTAAAATAAACAAAACAAATAATCTATCAACACCCAGCCCCAAAACAGTAAAATTCTTTAATAGAACCGCTTTTTAAATTTGGGATTACCAGCATAATTCCCAGACTGAAGTGAGATTAGCTTCAAGTAGAGATAATCCAGGTCTGGTGTAAATTGATTCTGATTGTTTCACTTATTAGAATCCAGCTTCAGTCTACTGAGAGTAATGCTTCCTAACATTTTAACAGAAGAGGCATTTGTGATTTAAAATATGAGCCACTGAATAACATGCTGAGTCTCATCATGGAAACGCTTGTTCCAACAGAACGTGCATCGATGTTTCCTTATAAACCAATAAACAAATGCTAGGTAGTTATCTCTTTATTCTGCTGTGTGGGTTTTCCTTTGTCTCCAACGTCGCCAAAACCCAAGAGTTTAACCCGAAGCGAGCAGGGGAAACGCTGTGAGAAGTGGATCAAAGTGGAATTTTTCTTAAAGAAAGGCAACAAAACAAAGAGTTCCTTCTTCTGGTTGAGCTGCTCCTTTATTCCCTTTCTCTTCACCTCCATGGTTCACTTTGCTGTTCATCAGCTCCAGTGAGTGGAAGAGCCTGAGATCGAAGGTCGGATGATTCCTTTGGGAGAAGGTTTGGATCCAAACCAGGACATCTGCAACACATCAGTCATTAGAGCAGAAGGAAACCAAACTATCGTTCTTGTTGAAGCCCCTGTCACACCTTGATGATTAAGCCAGCGTATGCCTGATGTACAAAAACGCTGGCATACGTTGGATATGTTATGGGTGAGTTTTGTATAAGTTATGAGCACGCTGAAGAATGCTGACGCATGTCGACATAACAGCAAATATGTCAAGAAATTTTGAATATTTCCAGTGTATGCCATTCATTGGGGCATAAGTTAGAGGTAAGTTATCTGATTATTGACATAGATGAGTGTAAGTTACTCATAAGTCATGGTGTCTAGTTTATCCAAAATCCATAAGTAACTTCTGCATAATGCGCAACATATATCATCGTATCTGATGTGTTCCAGACGGCTGCTGAACGTCTGTCTAACTTACAGCTACTGTACAATGGCATAATGCTACGTTCACACCGGACGCAGCAGGCGTGGCAGAAGCAGCGAGTTTACATGAAAGGTCAATGGTTGACGCGCGTCAAGGCGTAGCAAAATGAGCAGCAGGTGCAGCGCGTCTGAGCAGCAGAAGCAGCTCGTCGGGAGCGTTTATGCATCTGACGCGCCGCAAACGCGCTGTTGCTCGAAATGGAAGAATTGAACTTTTGCTGCTCGACGCGCCGCATCAACCAATCAGAGAAGCTGGCCATGAGACAGACACATCGCTGATGACACAGAGCGCTATGATCACTCCTCTTAAACAGTTTATTGACGCATAAATTAACTTAAAATGCTGAAACCTGCCGACAGAATATGTTCGCTTTTATTATCCTGCTGCCTGCAGTTTGGATTATTTAGATGAAAACCACCTTCCAGCCGCCGTGGCGAACCGCGAGGAGGCGACCCGGCCAGAGGCTGCTGTTGAATGGGATCCTACTGACAGCACACCGCCGGTATGTGGGGGTCTGAGCGGCTCCGACAGAACTAATATTAGAAGGCAGGATGATAATCTGAATGAACTGACTGTACCGATTATGTTTTCAGGTGGATTTTCTCACTTAGAAACATAATAAAACTACTTTATTCCCACTGATCACAGCAAATATAGCTGCAAGGCAAAGAAAGGATAGTGAAGCTCCGCCCAACGCGCGTCAGACACACTTTTCGACCACGCAGCCGGATCAGCAAAGCTGCTTAAGCCGCGCGTCAGAACTAACGGGTACAAGCAGCAAAAATGAAGCAGCAGACGCGATTCTGCTGCTCCTGCTGCGTCTGGTGTGAACATAGCATAATAATTCACTGAAGCTTCGTAATGCCCATGAAATGATGCTTTTGCATCAAATTCCCATGGTATGTATGGATGGGCATGCTTGTGTATAAAGGATTTAAAAAGCTTCTTCAGAAGGAAAATGTGCCTGATGGCAGGTATGGGCGGCCCCAGACTCACTCTACAATTAGGCTTTAGCATCATTTTATTGGACATTACGCTGCCATGCTTTATGTATAAGTTAGGCTGTTGTTGGACATAATCTCTGGACTTGTTATGAATACTCTATACGTCCAAAATTGAAAAAGTACATAGAAAGTTCACCGTATGCCAGCGTTTTAGGAGATTCTGGGACATCAGGCATACGCTGGCTAAATCGGCAAGGTGTGACACCTTACCCTAATCTTCTGTCATTTGTTGAAAGTAAACCGAGTTAAAGCCAGAGAGAACACGAACCACCAACCTTATACTCCAGGGTTTGCTTCAGCATGTCCTCCTCCTCTCGAGTGAAGTTGAGCAGCACAGACACGGCTCGGATCAGCTGGAATGCCTGATGGGGAAATCAGGACACGTTTGGTCTGTGCTTGTAAAGCTGCCTGCAGGTAGAGCATGCACCTCTGGATGACCCACCTCAGCCTCCCTACAGGACATGAACTTGAGAACGACGTGTTTGAGATACTCAAAGTTGATTTCCCGCGAGTCGTTGAGGTCTGAGGTGTTGGTGACGGTGATGCTGGACGTGATGGGGCATAGGGCTGCTGGTGGAGGTGGCTCCGAATTCACACGCTCCTGTTTCTCTGCTCGACTTTCCGCAGTCTTCTCCTTCCCTTCAGCTTCTAGCTCAGGCTTTAATTTCTTCAGAACAGCAAAACAACACAAAATGAACTACTTTATTTTCTCAGTGCCTCCAGATGAATGCTACAGTTCCCTGTATTACCAGTTCCTTCTGTAGAGTTCTCTTCAACTCTGCCAGCCTTTGCTGCAGTTGCTTTATCGTCTGGAAACAACACATGCATGATATAGAGGTAGCAGTGTGAATGTATGTTCATGCAGAAGGTGGGGCTGAGCTAGGAAAGGTGTCTGACCCTGTTCTTGTCGCTGAGCTGCTGCTCCAGATCCCTGTTGACCTTCTGGATGTGATCCAGGTCATCCGGAGTCACGCAGCCGTTCTGATCCTCCTCACAACCCTCCAGACTTTGAAGCTGCTCTGTCAGTGTTTCCACCTCCACCTCCAAGTATGAAATCTGAATCACAAACATCAAACAGGGCTGCTGTGTTATGCAGTCAATCAATGGATTACCACAGTACAGCCATCTTCCTCATCCAGTAACTAATGGTTTCCAGCTGTGTCATTAGATCAAAGTGTGAGCTGACCCGTGCCTGGCAGCTGTCCAGCTGCTGCGTCTGGCTCAGCAGCTCCTCCCTCAGGCTCTTCAGCTCAGAGTCTTTATCCAGCTCCACCTGTCGCAGCCGTTCGGTCTCCTCCTGCAGCTGAGCCAGCGAGTCCTGCCGACTCTGCAGCTCTGTAACACCAGCAGAGGGTTAGATCAACTGGCTGATTTCTCATTTTCAAGAAGTGGAAGCAGACGTGTGTGATGCAGTAAACTTTAAGGACTAGTGGTGTGTGTCTGTGTACCATTCTGAAGTGTTTGGACATCCTCATCCCTCAGTCTCAGTTTCTTAGCAGCAATTGATAATTCCTGTTGGGAGTTCTGTAGATCCACAGTCAGTTCACCAACCTAACATCAAGCAGAAACAGATACATCTCATTTAACACCATCAGCTCTGAATTTACCGTCTGCTTCCTGCTTCTGGGCTAAAGGTTCAGTTCTAAGACAACCTGCTGTGACTGGAGGCAGGGCGTTTATCGCTTATCCAGGGATGTTTGGAGAAATGAACAAGTCCAGCAGAACATCTCTGACTCCTATTTTTAAGCAGTTAAAGGAGCTGTTCACCTTGGACATGGAGTAGATAAACATCTGAGGCGTGTAAAGTATTTAAAAACGAATCTCTTCCATGTGAACGAAATATCTTTTAAATGTTGGTGATGATCCAGATCATAATCCAGATACAGGATCTTTTTTTAAGGATTCTCTCCAACATTGTCAGATGGGGATATTTGGCAGAATGAGCAGTTCCCTCCTAATCCAGAAGGTGGCAGCAGTGACTCCTAACAGCTTCAGAATCAGACTCAAGAAGTCTGAATAATACATACAATTATACTGAAAACAACAAGGAAAGGGAAAGTTTTTGGTTTATCAGCAAAATTTTTACCAGAGGCGCACCTCATCCCAGGGAACAATTTATTAAAATTTGGTAACAATCCAGATCCTTTAGGTAGAGGAGTAAGTCACAATATGGAGCAAAACTTAATGCTTGGCTGAGGCTTGCTTTCTCTGGGTGCTTTTCTACTTAAAATATGTCCTTTGTTATTTATGTGAAAAAATATTTATTTATTCATCACATTTTGAGCTATTATCCTGTTTTAATATTTGGATTATTAACTCCACCCAAGGAGTTCAGGAGTGAGGGACGGATGGAGTGAGATCGATAGACAGATCGGTGCAGCGTCGGCAGTGATGTGGTCGCTTGTATCGGACTGTTGTGGTGAAGAGGAAGCTGAGCCAGGGGGCAAAGCTGGATTTACCGATCTATCTACGTTCGCCACCTCACCTACGGTCATGAGATCTGGGTTATGACCGATAGGAAAAGTAGCGATTACAAGTGGCTGAAATGAGTTTCCTTCGCAGGGTGGCTGGGCGGACCCTTTAAGATCGGGTGAGGAGCTTAGTTACCAGGGAGGAGCTGAGAGTAGAGTGACTGCTCCTCCACGTCGAAAGGAGCCAGCTGAGGTAGCTCGGGCATCTGTTCTGGACGCCTCCTGGTCACCTCCCTCGCGAGGTGTTCCAATGATGTCCCATTGGGAGGAGGCCTGGTGGAAGGCCCAGGATACGCTGGAGGGACTATGTCTCTGAGCTGGTCTGGTGTCGCCTCGGGGCCCCCCCCCCCAGAGCAGCTGGAGGAGGTGTGTGTGGATCGGGAGTCTGGGCATCTCTGCTTAGACTGCTGCCTCCGCAACCCGGCCCCGGATAAAGCGGAAGAAAAATGGATGGATGGAACTCCAGCCAATACTAACTTGAAAATGTTTTTGAATGTCGCGCTACGTTCACACTTAATGCAACTGAAGGAGCTATTTTACATACAAAGTCAATGGTTGACCCGCATCCAGGCGCATCAAAAGGTCCTGCAGCGCGTCTGAGCAGCGCCTCATGAGCTTCTGACGCACGTGACCAGCTTCATAGGTAGCAGATGCTGGAGTTGGAAAAATTTTACTTTTTCTGCTTGGCGCCACATTACCCAATCAGAGAAGCTGATCTGGGACCTGGCAGGGAGACGGACACAGCGCTGCTGATGCAAAGCGCTATGATCACTGCCATGAAAAAGTTTATTTACGCCTACATTAACTTTAACTAAATGACAAAACCTGCCGGCAAAATATGTTCGCTTTATTATCCTGGTGTTTGCAGTCTGTACCACGTACCTGAAAAACGCTAACATCTACTCCTTAAGGTTGTGTTCTTGCCATTTGCTTTACTACCTGCTTTCATCATTTCATCTTTACTTGCTTTTATTCTATTTTTATTTTCCTTCTATTTCATCAATAAATTCATGCAAAGCACTTTAAATTCTCTTTGTACTGAATTGTGCTAAATAAATGAACTTTCCTTGCCTAAACTATTGATAAATGGTATACACAATAAACATTACATAAAGTCTGAAAGTATGAATTCATCAAGTAGCGAATAACTTTTGGATCATAATACCTGATTTGACCTTGAAAAATGATGCAAAAAGAGAAATGTTATTTGAGATTTCTAGTATCACATTAAAGATTTAAACAAAAATACAGATAAATAAGAAATAAGATAAGAATAAGAAACAAAATAAACAGAAATAAATCTGATATAAGCCACATAAGAACCATTCTGCTACTGCTTTAAAGTTAATGTAGCCGAGTGGTTAATAATAAATGGACCCGTTGTTCTCGACTGTTATGCACAACAAAGGTTTGAATTATTAGCGCTGAAATGGGGTCAATATCTGTATCTGTCATTAATCAAAGCTGGGATACTGGTTTGTCAGAAATAAAAAAAAGTCGTATCAGGAAACCTTTCATTAGGACAGAGGGAGAAACTTCCACCCATTTCTACTGTTTACTTTTTATTCCGTGAGCAGAGAAGCTGCAGACTAACTTTACTGAAGAAGGAGACGCGAAACATCACAACAATATCACTCAAGTAAAGGAAGGAGAGGAGTAAAGTAAAACTACCTCATAAAAATACATCTCTTTCAAATAGTTACTCTGGTAAATGCAGAGCTGTCAAGTAAAGCTTAAATACTTTGTTACGTTACGAAGAAAGTTTATGTTGTAAATTATTTTTTAGGCAACTTTTTTGTTCTACTTATCACATTTTTTTGCATTTATCTTTACTTTTTACTCCTTAGATATCAAAAATACACTCATTAGCTTTGTTTTATTTAAGCTCATTTTCTGTTAAAATAAAAAAAAATAATCATCATCAAAATAATTTCTTTCATCCAGACAATTAATTTATTTGTGGTTGAACTTGGTGCTGCCCCAACTTGTTGTTCACCATATACCAAAATAGATGTTCTTCAAGATGATGTAAAGTTCAATTTGACACTATTAATAGTAGTTATAAAACTAAGAAACCTAATTATAAGCAAGGAATCATCCAGATTGTCTTTAATATTTTTTTCCTGCATTACTTTTACTTCATATTTTAAGTTGTTTTAAAAATGGTACTTTTACACTTTCTGTTTAGTAAAAAGCTGAAGTTGATACTCTAACATCTATAAAAGTGTTTTAAACAGTAGGATAGCTACGTCTACTTGAGTAATAAACATTAACACTTTTGACACCTCAGTGTAACTAACTTCACACCTGGCAATCAACGATCACCAAAACCTGCAAGCTGGTGAAGAGTTCATGATTCGTGCAGGTTTAGCAAACACAGGATCTTTGAAACATGCAGCCTTCATGTTGATTGTAACTCTGCAAATATTCTGCAGCTCAAAAGCTGCAGCTTAAACCAGGTCATCAAGTGGACTCAGCAGCAGAAAGACAGCAGGACTGCAGGGCTGCAACAGCTGAGCCAAAGTCCCTGCCTCAGGCTGTGCTTTATGGAGCCTTTATTGGCTGGAAATGGTTCTTTGCACATCCTGATCTCTAGTTCAGTTCTGTTAATAAACAATCCCCAAAGTATAGGAAGATGTGTTTAGCTCATCAGTCTACTTGGTTGTTTTTAAAATCTTTTATCAGATGATGGTGTGGACCTGATGTGTTGGTTTATACATCCAGACGTCTAAAGGGAAATATGCTGACCTGTTTCTGCAGCTCCTCCTTCTGCCGTCTGGTTTCCTCCAGAGATTTAGCGATTTCTGTGTTCACAGTAAGCCGGCTGTTCAGCTCTGCCTGAGGAAACACATGAGACACAGAATAAATACAACATGTTTACTCTGCTCCTCTTCTCTGAAAACATCCCATTACGCTCTTATTACATCTAAACTGAGATCTTCAGATCTACTAAAGATTTTTTTTAAAGCTGCAAAGGCCCCTTAATCAAACCAAGCCTTTTTCTCAGTCAGTTCTGTGTTTTTGGCCTGTTTGGTGATGCTCTAATAAAATACTGACAGAGATGATGAAGGTCTTCCAGGAACGTTGGAGTTTTTACCTTGGAATTCTCCAGTTCCTCCGCTTGCTGCTTCAAAATGGAGTTTGCCTGAACCAGCTGTTTATCCAGATCCGCCTGTCAGACAGAAAACTGGCTTTTTAAAACTAATTTCTTTGCCTTTTCTTTGTGATTTTTGTTATGAACACACTTCCCTCGCTCTGGCAGCAGAATAACCGCCTGCGTCACACGGTTACCATGTCAACAAAGAGTGTAGAGGAAACATACCACCCTGTCCAGAAGTGAGAGTTTCTCCGTGTGAAGAGAGGAGACGTTTTCCTCCAGCTGGCCGACCCGCTCCACACTCTGCTGCTCTGTCAAACGCACCTGCTGCTCCAGGAAGGCCTTCTCTGCACTCCACTCCCCCTGCTGGAGGAAAAGTGTATATAACAAACCAATAATTATCCTGTAGGATCAGGAGATAAACTTAGAACACGCAGGAGTTGTTACCAATTGATCCATGCGCTGCTGTTTCTCTGCCACCTGCTGCTCTGCTGTCTTTATTCTCTCTGTTCTCTCAAGAATCTCTTGCTCCAAAGTGGCGATCTAAAACAAACAAATGTTAGTTTAATGATCAAGATTTCTAGATAATACAGACTTATTTTCTGTCTGCTAAACCCTACCGCCTCCAACTGCTGAATATTTGGACACTTTAACCAGTTCAGTGAAGGACCTTTAAACACCTGCCAGCATTGGACCTCCCACCACAAGGTGGTGACAATGCACTGACTGATAGAAAGCTTAGAGATCTTCAGGGTTCAAGCTACTGTTGTGATGTTTTTTGTGGGGTCGGGCGATTAATCCCATCCTCTGTTATGGAAAAATCTGGATTTTATTCCCACCAAGCCAATCCTTAGGCTTCCATAGCTCAGAGTGATATCAGTTCATATCCTTTTGCTCTTTGATCTATACTCATAAATGAAAACCAGTAGCTGGAAACATTCAATACGTTTTATTCTCACCGTTTGCTGTGAAACATGATTGTTTTATCAGCACGTTTCACAGCTTGAATCACTGCCTTTTAAATGAGGGTCAGTCTACGGAGGGAATAGTGGAAATAAAACTAGTTTTTGAAGTCATGATTGTCATTTTTTGAAGAGACTTAAGGAGAAAGATTTATTTATGGGATTCGGTATAAAAAAAAATGCTGCTGCATTCAGGGAATCTGAGCAAAGTTGAAGTTACAGAGATCTGTTTTGGTACTTTTACAGTAAGAAGCATCTCTTGTGATTATTCACATCATTTATTCAGAGAAATTAAAGACAGTAGATGAGATTAAAACCTTCTGAAAAATCCCAGAGCAGATGGAACAGAGTTGCTCCCATTTACAGCTTAGCTATACTTTGACGCTTCTAAAATGTATTTACTCTAGTGCTCAGTGGCGCAGTGGGTAGCACTGCTGCCTTGCAGCAAGAATGTTCTGGGTTCGTTTCCCGGCCTAGAGTTTGCATGTTCTCCCTGAGCATACGTGGGTTCTCTCCGGGTACTCCGGCTTCCCCCAAAAACATGACTGTTAAGTGAGTTACTGTGAGTGTGTGCCTAAATGGTTGTTTGTCCTGTTTGTCTCTGTTTTGCCCTGCGATGGACTCGCCAGGGTGTACTAGAGCATGAAACGGGCCTTGAAAGTCAGCCCGAAACCGACCCGAGTCCGAAAGAACCAGGCCCGTGCCCGGCCCGGCCCGTTATGATTGACAGCTTCGTAGAGCCCGACCCGTTTGCAGCCCGACATTTTTCAATTGTGCGCATTAAGGGCTAATCTCCGTTTCACTTCTGTAACATCCATTTTGCATTCATCGCGTATAGATCGAACGTTATCACATGATCATTTATTTGCCGCGCATATAACGATTTAAAGCCCGAGCCCGGCCCGGCCCGAATGAAATAATAAAAAGTACAGCCCGAACCCGCCCGAACCGGGCAGGACCTCTCGGGTCCCGTCCGGTTCGGGCTAATATTCCCTGCTCTAGGGTGTACCCCGCCTCTCGCCCGTAGACGGCTGGAGGTAGACACCAGCACCCCTTGCGACCCCACTTGGGATAAGAGTGTAAGAAAATGGATGGATAAATAATTTTTAGCGCCCTGTCACACCTTGATCTTGATGTTTCATCCAGCGTTTGCCTGACAACGCGTATTACAGCCTAACTTATGCATAAACGCATGGCAGTGTGATGCCCATGAAATGATGCATGAGTTAGTGCCGTCAGCGGGGCAGCGATGCGCCCGGTGTTGCCCGGTCTGCATAAAAGGATTTCCTTGATGGCGGAATTAACCTAGCTTCTGTTTACCAAACGCCAAAAAAAAAAAAAAAAAAGAATAAATAAAAAGAAAAAAGGAAGAAAGAAGGTTTGCAGTCGCAGCAGATTTAGCGTCACATCTGCTAGGTAGTTTGTTGGTCGTGGCCGTGGACGCAGGGAGGCTCCATCACACTCACCCTATGATGGTGATGAAGGCTGGAGGCGAACTGAAGGTTTCCTCCTGTGAACCTCCTTTTAAAACACTGACAATACACCATTATACACTAGCTGGAAGTTAGAAACACGTTCAGTGGTCGTCTGGAACACGTCAGATACGTTTAGGAGAACCGGTTCAGTGTGTTCCAATTCCATGGCAGCTCGCTTAACGGCTCTTTTAACGGTTCCAGGCAGCACCAGAGCCCAGCGCTGGACAGCACGACTTACGTCATGTTTTTTTACGCAAGTTACGCACACGGCATTCAGTAAGCAAGTACGACTTGACGAGGCATAAGTCTAGAAAAGCAAAACAAAAAAATGGCGTCCCATCGGGTAAAGCGATGGTAAATTTGGGTATAAAGTGGCAAAAACATCCGTGCGAGGAAATACATCCTACATGGAGAAACACCTGCGCACACAACATGGGATACATTTTAACTAATGTCGTGTTTTTGATGCTTCCGGACAGAAGCTAAAGTTACGACCAGCATGGAAGGCAACTCTGATGGGAAGTAGCTAGTTTTATATCACTGGCTGTGCTTAATGTGGTTCCTAGTAAATCAGATGTCATTTCTGGAAATAAACACATTTCCTACCTCTCTTTGGGGTTTTTAGACATGCTACAAAGTTTCTCCGCAGTTCAGGGAGCGATATAAAGGTGACACTCCTTTATTTAAATCAGGGGGAGATGAGTTTATTTCTCGGAATTGTACAGTAATGCTTTTTCATTAAACAGATAAGTTCTCTTTTAGATTTAGATGACTGTGACGAGACGGGTAGCGTGGCTGGATCAGAGGCTGGCAGCTCCCGTTCACTGCCTTCTGTTTTCACCAAGGCAGGCAGAAATAGAATGCCCCAGGCAAAGGTAGACGAATGTCACCGTGCACTTAGCAAGTTTATTGTGTCACAGAATTGATAAGAGAATCGAATGGCTTCACAGAATCGATAAGGGAATCAGAATCTTGAAAATCTTATCAATTCTCAACCCTAGATACGTTGATATGCATTGGAAATAAGTTACGCATAAGTAATACAGAAGTTACTCATAGGTTTTGGGTAAGCTAGACATCATGACTTACGATTAACTTACACTTATAGTGTGTCAACAATCAAACAATTTACGAGTAACTTAACATTTATGGCATACTTGCTGTGAGTCAGTGTGCTTCAGCGTGCAAATAACTTATACAAAACCCACCCATAACTTATCCAAGGTATGCCAGCGTTTCTGCCAGATTTTCAGGACGTTAGGCTGGTCTAAATCGCCAAGGTGTGACAGGGGCTTTAGGCAATGATAAAGTTGCAAAACCATAACAACTGCAATCTGGCTGTTACTCATCCACCTAATATAGACCTACAACATGTAAGCATAGACAAAACACAAGGCATCATAAGGCTGCCACGTTACAGAGGTAGAGCGGCAGCTGACCTGTGCGTCTGTTCTGTCTCTGTAGGCCTTGGAGGAATCCTCTTTGTGTCGAAGAAGCGTCTGCAGCTCAGTAATACTGCCACTCATCTTAGAAACCTGAGATCACACAGGAAATACAGGAATGATAAACATAGATCTATTTTCATTCATTCATTCAACCTGGCAGGGAGGGTACGCCCTACTGATACTGATCCGCAGTAAGAGAAGCACCCTGTAATCAGTCGATGCATTACTTCACCTGTGCCTCCAGGGAGCTGACAGTGTCAGCATGGTTGGTCCTAACAGCCAACATCTCTGCTCTGGTCTCTTCAAGGCTTAACTCAAGGTTGGACTTCTAGAAGGAAAAAGACAGCGCAGGTTATCGGCCATTTCTGCTCCAAACACACACCTAGTCTTAGATTATAAAGTGTGTACATCTGAGACGAGGGAAGGAATTTTATTTCACTGCTTTAAAGACTATAATCTGGAATATCTATCAAAGTGTCATTGATGGGAGGAGAAACCTGCCTCCTGGAGGAGCTCCTGCAGATGCTCGTCTTGGCTCAGATTCCCCTGCAGCCGTCTCCCTAAGGAGGAGACCTTCTTCTGAAGCTCCACCAGCAGCCGTTCCTTTTCCTCCTCTGCCACAGCAGCCTGAGGAAGGAACCAGGACATTTCACATCTAATCTTGCTTTTTCATTAAAAGTCTAGATATAACAAACATTTGTTTGAAAATATTCTCCTGATTATAAATAATAATGATAATATCTCCTCACCTTCTGTTGATGTAATTTCAGGGATTCATTTTCGGCCTGTAAGTCATGAATGTTCTTCTCTAGAGACGACACCATGTTTTGGGACTGATGGAAACAGAACCGACGGTGTCAGTATAAACTCAGCAGCTGGCATAGAGTGGTGCTGTTGTTCTGAACTGACCGTTTGGAAGTCCTCAGAAACCTGCTGGATGACGGCCTGCAGCTCCTGACTTCGTCCTTCCAGCTCCACGATCTTCTTGTCTGCTTCTTCTCGAAGCAGCAGCAGTTCTTCTCTGAGGAGGAACAGAAATCCGTTTATCCCTTTATAGGGCGCTCTGTAAAATGCTTTAAAAATCTAAATTTTAAGCTAAGAGTGTTATCGGAGGACAGAAAAAGAACTTATTACTTTTGGAACATTTAAAAAATATTTATATTTTGATGAAAAAGAATCAAGGTAAATGTAACAAAGAATGACTTCCACTAATATGTAAAAAACAAAAAAAAACACTCAGTGAAAGAAACAGACTATTTTATTTGATAAAATAAAACCTTAGATCATTAATGATGATACAGGCGCTCACATTACAATCCCTTACATTTTTTTACTATTTTTAATCAGGGCTGGACAATTAGTTGCATTTGCAATATAATTGCAATTTAGAAAAATGCTAATTTCAAATCGCAGAGTGACTTAATTTTTTAATCACAACACATTTCACAAGAGCACCAAGTTTCTGCCTGCAGCCCTTTAGGTGGTTGTAATATGATTAACATGGGCCGGCTGTGGCAAAAAAGGTAACAGAGAGTTGCAGCTAGCACCTAGATCTATGCTTTATAGTTGAAGTAAGAAATTTTCATGCAAATGTTACAGTAAAGTTCTGCAACACTGGATTCTGGAAAATCGTGCTTTCAAGGTCATGATTAACCTGAAACCCTTGAGTGCAAAAACAAAAACAAAAATTTGCAATAAAAATCACAATATTGTTTAAAAATAAATGCATTTTGGTTTTTGGCTAAATCATTCGATCCTATCTTAGCTTTTTAACTTAGCTTTTTACCTAATTTTACTTAAAGGTATAGTGGTGTATCTTCACGAATTTTTGAAAAAAAAAAAACCTCCCTCTCCACACGCACAACCCTGTACCCGCTCCCGAGAGGAAACGCCTTTTAAACACGTGTGAGAGCGTGCACAAGCCCATTTCTCCTCGTGCACGCTCTGTTTAAGAGTTGCTGTTTGCATTACTCATATAAGTTTACTTTCCCAAAGTAGATTAGCAATTTTTCCACTATGTCAGAATGGGGACAAGCATGTAGGACGACCTTATGTAAACATATCACAAGAATGATTGACAATTAGGAGGACCAACTATTTTGATGATCAACCCACAAGAACATCCAACGTCATTCCTATAACTTATCCACTTTTTTTCCCCAACTTAATTTACAGACGGTAACATATAATAAGAGGGCTCATTTAACTGGTCAATGGCTGCTTAACTCCATCTGTAAGAAATATGCAAGTGACTAACTTCCCTACAGAGCTGTTGGCAGAGCTACACCTCGGTTCTGTTGCGCTGACACAGGAACCCAGTTATAACAACAGCCACATGTCAGGTGTGAGAGGTCAGATATTTTCCATACAATCAGCTGTTTTAAGCTTTAACAAAGTGGAAAAACATCATTTAAAATATGATTTTTGATAGATTTCAGGACCGTAAATAAAGATCCATGTGTTTGGCAGCAAAAATATTCATAAATTGTTACCATGGAGAAGCTGAATGTCTTACCGCTCTATTTCCAGCTCTGAGTTGAGTCTGCAGCTCTCCTCATGCTGCTGCTGCAGAGCCTGGAGTTTTCCCCGAGCCTCCGACAGGCCTCGCTTCGCTGACTGAACTTCAGCCTCCTTCTTTTGAAGCTCCTGCTCCCGCAGGCTGAGCAATTCCTCCTTTCTCAGCAGCTGATGGGGACAGAAATGTAAAAAGCCACCAGATTAAGAGAACGGCTGTGAATGTGAAGCCATGAACAACTCAAACATCCCTATTTAGTCCTGCACTCAGACTGCACTTTATCTGTGAACATGACTCCCTAAATCAAACTCCCCTATTTCATGTCAAACCATGTTTAAACAAACAGATGTTGACAATCTCCACATGTACGCACCATGTGTTTAACTTTAGCAAGCTCTTGCTGCTGAAAGCCTTCCAGTTCATCCAGGTCATCCCTTTTCTGGAAGAGCGTTAAACTCTGTTCCATCATCTCCTCAATCCGAGCTGACAGGGCAGCTTTCTCCTAAACATACAGAACAACTATTTCATGCTATTGTTTCCTCACATGTTGGGTGTCAATACAGAAGCTCCCTGAGGCTCCCTGTGGGGCTCCAGCAGTACTGGTAGTGTTGATAGGATATAGGTCCAAACCAGAAGAACAGAGAAATCTTAAACCAATGCGATCAGCAGCTGAGATAAAGGTCAGGATGAAGTTCAGAGCCTTTCTGCTATGGAGTGAATTTTGTTCCATTGTTGAAAGCAAAGAAAACTATTTGTAAATGATGGCTTAAAAAAAATTAAAACCAGAAAAGAAAATTTGAAAAAGTTCATCAATAAAAGTTTTTCAGAATAAAAGTGCTGATTTTCTTTCAAATTTTTTTTTCATATTTTATTTTTTCTAATTTAATTTATTTAATGTTTCACAGTTTTTATATATTTTCAAATTTTGTGTTTAAAATTTCTCTTTTTCAGACTGAGTTTTACAAACTCCATTTTTTTTATTTTACAGTTTCTTTCCTCTGTGAAAACACATTTTTATTTGTCTGCCTGGATGTTAGCAACAACATTTTTATTACTCAAGAGTCAGCATTTAAATTGAGCCTAAAGTGAAGAAAGTGAAACGTAAATAAAAAAAAAAATGCATCTGTAAAACAACTGAGAAAGAAAGTTTTAAAATAAATTAATTAGTAATAAAAAAAATAATTTAGACAAGATATTTGGGAAATTCACATGTAAGAATCAGAAAGCTGCTCCAAATATTTTTTGTTTTATTAAAAAGTACCAACCTCGGTTTTTATAATTTTGCTTGCCCAGAGTCTACTGTCACAGGACTTTACTGTAACCATTGAGTGAAAGGTTAAATTTACTTTTACTTCCTTTCATGGATCTACCTGTTAGCTGCAAATCTCTGTACCTTTCTGTGTGGCAAAAAACCCACTTCAAGCATTTGATCACCACCTAAAAGGCTGGAGGCAGAAATTTACTGTCTTACTCTTGTTAAATATAGTGTGATTAAAAATCAGTGCCTCTGCAATTTCAAATTTTGTCTTGTTAAATTGTGATTATATTTCAAATGAAATTAGTTACCCAGCCCTTTAATAGTAATATTTGAACTTTAATGATCTCACATTGAAGAAATATGCCTCTGCATTTAACCCATCCCCTTGGGGAGCAGAGGGCTGCCACCGTGGGGCGCCCTGGGAGCAATCAGAGAGCAATCATGGCAGTCTGTGGGAGTGGGGCTTGAACTCAGAACCTCAAGTTTCCACGCTCTCTGCCCTAACCACTAGTTTGTTGCTTCCCTATTTTTTCTCTCATTTCCATTCTCAAAAAGATTTTTTCTTTGCTTGCAACAAAATTGGAACCAAATTAACTCCATATTCTGCTCCTCTCTTTGGATTTTTTAAAATCTGCAGGCCGTTGGCCGTAGCTCTAGCAGTCGACCATATACAGGTTTGTTCTCACCACAGGGAGCACCAGAGTAGGCATAAACATTTCATTCTGCTCTGATTTAAAGCCAGACTAAAGGGTAAAAACCTGGTGCCATCTTGCTCTAAATTGTAGGGTTTAAAGACCCTCAGAGTATCAGAGGTTCTTGGCACATTGTCTTATAAATGTGTGCAAATTTAGCTGGAGATACCTAAAATGATCTTCAAAGTCTTCATACATTTTGAACGGACTGAGTTCACACAAACAGGTAGGCTTCAGCACAATTTTGTCTTAGGACTCCAGAACTCCACACATGGAAAAGTTTTAGTTTCACCTGGTTTAATTTAATACATCTTTTGCTTTCTGCATAATCATCATTAGATCTTCAACTTATTCTTTGCACACTTTACTGGGAGAGGCTAAAGGCTTAGCAGAGGCAGGCTACTTCCTTGTTTATTTCGCAAACATGCAAAGTATTGTAACTTATTTGTTATCATAAATACACAATAAGAGCTTTATTTACTAACAAATTAAGCAAAAACATGTGGTAAAACAAAGATAATTAAAATATGCCCGGAGGATGTGGTAATCTTTCAGAATGTGTGTAACCATTGAGTTACTGTCGTGTAAATTTAAAACATATGAAATAATGTCACTAAAAACGCTACAGAATCGACATACAAAACTTGGGTTTATTTTGCATGTTTCCACTGCTACACTGATGATCTTATGTTTTCTGATGTCTTTGAGGCTGGAGGGCCTCCTTACAAACACCCTTAGTTTTAGCTTCCTCTTTAGGAAGGGTAGTAGAACACCATCGCCAGCAGAGGACCCCACCATCTTTGTCGCGGAAGGAGGAATCAGAAGCTTCAAGCAAAGAGAAACCTCAAGGCCCTTCACTACTGGCCAGGAGTGGAGCATGAAGGTTGACCTGGACAGGAAGCTTCAGTTTCCCACAGAAATCACCACCACATCTCTCCGACCAGACATTGTGGCGTGGTCCATAAAGGCAAGAGCGGTAGCCCTCATTGAGCTCACTGTGCCAATGGAGGAAGGGATCGAAGCTGCCTTTGAGCGAAAAAAGGCCAAGTATTCAGAGCTGGCTGCAGAGTTCCGGGAGGCGGGCTGGAAGACTACCATCTACCCAGTAGAGGTCGGATGCCGAGGCTTCACAGGGTTGTCGACCATACGCCTCCTGAAAGACGTGGGAGTCAGGGGAGGAAGGCTGAGGAAGGCAACAAAGGAACTGGCTGAGGAGGCGGAGAAAGGGAGCTTTTGGCTCTGGCTGCGGAGGAAGGACAGAACCTGGGGGAATAACACCTAACCCCCAGATAACAGTTGCAGGGAATAACACCTTTCAGCTGCAGGGGGTGACAGGGAGACGTCCCTGTCACTGCCCCGCCACCAGGAGACGTTCCAGGATTAAAGGGGCGAAACGTTGGTGAATGGTGGTTCCTGGCTGATGACCCTGCAGCTGACCCATGGGCACCGGAGGAGGTGCGACAGGCAGAAATGCCAAGCAGGATTTAACACCCTCCTGTATTATCCTGAAGTTCTGGGAAACCCAGTGGCTACTGTGAATAGGGCAGTTGGAGTCCAGGGAAGACTGGAGGACATCCAGGAAAGACTGGATGACGGCAGGGAAAGACCGCACGGGGAGTGGGCGGCTAGTAACCCAACCCACCGGTCTCTCACCAGAGAGACACCCAACTCTGACTACGAAGAACAAAAAGAAGCAACAACCCGTGGGCCCTCCGAGAGGCGGGATGAAAGATGGGCCCAACAGGACGGACTACATGGTAACGACGGCAATGGAAAAGGATAACGAGACACCCAGAACACCAGGAAATGAGGAGAAGGTCCTCCGAAAGTGTGCATGTGGATGGGAGAAAGTGACCACGTTTAGGGGCGTACGGATCCACCAGGGGAAAGCAAAGTGTGGACAGAATGGCCAGCAGCAACCTTGCACTGCAACAGCAGGTGAGACAAGAGGGACCAAAAGCCAGGGCAAAAACCACAGAGCCAATGGACCCAATGTTGCTGAAGGCAGGAGGATGACAGGGGAAGAAGGCCCACTGGTGGAGAACGAGTCCCCACGTGAGCACGAAGACCAAGTCCTCACCACACCAGACAGAACAGAGCCAATCGCAGAGACCAAGAAACCCGCCAGAAAGAACAAGATCAAGTGGCCAAAGTCTAGTGAAGCAGAGGCATGGCGTGCACTGGACACATACCTGATCAAGACCCTACAGGAGTCACTGCAAGGAGGGGCAGAGGCCAAGCTGAATCGGATTGGGGACATCATATACCAGACCTGCAAGGACAGGTTTGGAGAGATCGTTTCCAGACAGAGGTCCATCCAAAGAGAGAAGGGAAGGAGAGAGAAGGAAATCCTCCAGCTGGTACAAAGGCGTCGCCAACTCCGGAAAAGCTGAAGAAAGGCCACTCTTGTGGAGAAAGAAGGACTGAAAGCCCTATGGGAAGAGGTCAGGAAAAGACTAGCCTTGCTTCGCAGAGCTGAGCGCATCCGAAAACGCAGCAAGCGGAAGCAGAAAGAGAGAGCCAGCTTCTTCAAGGATCCCTTCAAGCATGCCAGACAGCTGCTGGAGGAAAAGAAGACTGGCAAGCTTGAAACTACCAGGGAGCAATTGGAACAGCATGTCAGAAAGCAGTACAGCGATCCACAAAGGAATGTCCCCTTAGGAACACCAGGATATTTACCGCAGCCTGCACAACCAACTGTTGAGTTTAACACCATGCCTCCCAAGCTCAGTGAGGTTAGGCAAGTTGTGGAGAAAGCGAGGTCTTCTTCTGCACCAGGCCCCAATGGTGTCCCCTACAAGCTCTATAAGAACTGCCCTAAGGTACTAGAGCTGCTATGGTACCTAATGAGAACTGCCTGGAAAAAACAACTCATTCCAGCAGAGTGGCAAAGAGCAGTAGCGGTTTTCATTCCCAAGGAAACAAACTCCAAGGACATAGGGCAGTTCCGTAACATCGCCCTTCTAAACGTAGAGGGAAAGATCTTTTTCTCGGTGCTAGCCAGAAGGATGACGACCTACCTGCTCCAGAACAAATACATCGACACCAACTGTCAGAAGGCAGGGGTGCCAGGGTTCCCAGGATGTGTGGAGCACTCCACAATGATCTGGGACCAGATCCAGAGGGCTAAGCGCGACAAGACTGACCTGCATGTCGTCTGGCTTGACCTGGCCAATGCATATGGATCTGTCCCACACCAGCTGATCATCTACGCCATGGAGTTCTTCCACATGCCTGCTTGCATCAGAAGCATGGTAAAAAGCTATTTTAACAACCTGCAAATGTGCTTCTCTGCCCTTGACTTCACTACTGGATGGCAGCGGCTTGAAGTCGGAATAGCGATGGGGTGTGCCATTTCACCTACACTGTTTGTAGCAGCGTTTGAAATAATCCTCATCGGTGCAAGGCAGATGGCAGGAGGAATAAAACTGCCAACTGGCCAGAGGCTCCCCCCGCTAAGGAGCTACATGGACGACGTCACCACCCTCCTTCAGACAGCACCATGTACAGCAAGACTGCTGAGGAGGATTGATGAGCTGATGTCATGGGCAAGGATGAAGATCAAGCCCTCCAAGTCCCGTAGCCTGTCACTCAGGAGAGGTGTCCGGAACGACAGCACCACCTTCGTCGTCGGGGGAGAGAAGATCCCACTCCTTGCAGAGCAGCCCATCAAAAGCCTTGGGAGGCAGTACACTGCTGAGCTTTCTGACAAGCAAATGGGGAAAACCGTTATGAAGCAGCTCTCTGATGGCTTGACGAGAATTGACCAAAGCCAACTACCGGGCAAATACAAGGTCTGGTGTTACCAATTTACACTCTACCAGAGACTGCTGTGGCCCCTGAAAATGAGTGAGATCCCCTCATCAACCGTGAGTAGGATGGATGGGAAAGCCAATTCATTTATCCGAAAGTGGTTGGGGCTGCCACGGTGCCTCTCTGAAGCTGGCCTATTTGGGAGGAACATGCTCCAGCTACCCCTAAGATCGCTACAGCTGGGCTACATGCAAGAAAAGACCAGGTTGGTGCTCGAGCTACGGGAGTCCACAGATGAGCTGGTTAGGAATGCTAATGCCAGGGTCCTGACTGGCCGCAAGTGGAACGCCCAGACCAAGGTCGACCAAGCGGTAAGCCGGCTGCAGCACAAGGAGATTGTAGGCAGGGTGCAGGTAGGAAGAGCAGGCCTAGGATGGGGAGAAGCACCACGCTTCTGGTCCAAGGCCCAACACAAGGAAAGAAAGGAAATGGTGGTGGCGGAGGTGATGAGGATGGAGGAAGACCGCTATAAGATCAAGGCTGTGTCTCAGGGACGACAAGGAAGCTGGACAACCTGGGAGGGAATCTCAACCAGGAACATCAGTTGGTCAGACTTGTGGAAGATCCCACAGGCAAGACTTAGCTTCCTTATCCGCTCAACATATGACACGCTTCCCTGTCCTCGGAACCTTCATCAGTGGTTCGGAAACGAGGAATGTTGTGCACTCTGCAATGCTCCCAACGCAAGCCTCCAGCACATCTTGTCAGGCTGCAAAGTGGCCCTCTCACAGGGCCGCTATAGATGGCGCCACGACCAGGTCTTGAGAAAGCTAGCCGAAGTGCTGGAGGAGCGCAGAAAGGGTAGTAGAACACCATCGCCAGCAGAGGACCCCACCATCTTTGTCGCAGAAGGAGGAATCAGAAGCTTCAAGCAAAGAGAAACCTCAAGGCCCTTCACTACTGGCCAGGAGTGGAGCATGAAGGTTGACCTGGACAGGAAGCTTCAGTTTCCCACAGAAATCACCACCACATCTCTCCGACCAGACATTGTGGCGTGGTCCATAAAGGCAAGAGCGGTAGCCCTCATTGAGCTCACTGTGCCAATAGAGGAAGGGATCGAAGCTGCCTTTGAGCGAAAAAAGGCCAAGTATTCAGAGCTGGCTGCAGAGTGCCGGGAGGCGGGCTGGAAGACTACCATCTACCCAGTAGAGGTCGGATGCCGAGGCTTCACAGGGTTGTCGACCATACGCCTCCTGAAAGACGTGGGAGTCAGGGGAGGAAGGCTGAGGAAGGCAACAAAGGAACTGGCTGAGGAGGCGGAGAAAGGGAGCTTTTGGCTCTGGCTGCGGAGGAAGGACAGAACCTGGGGGAATAACACCTAACCCCCAGATAACAGTTGCAGGGAATAACATCTTTCAGCTGCAGGGGGTGACAGGGAGACGTCCCTGTCACTGCCCCGCCACCAGGAGACGTTCCAGGATTAAAGGGGCGAAACGTTGGTGAATGGTGGTTCCTGGCTGATGACCCTGCAGCTGACCCATGGGCACCGGAGGAGGTGCGACAGGCAGAAATGCCAAGCAGGATTTAACACCCTCCTGTATTATCCTGATACTTAATCATAGCTGGGAGAGCCTCCTTCCAATCAAAACAAATATGATGAAAAAATTCAAAGATTGCTTTAAATCTGAATTGTAAAAATTTAAGTTGAACAGAGGTATGAATAGCTGAGTTAAAATTGTCTAGTCAAACATCAACACAGTTTGAAGTACTTGCTTTTTCTACATCAGCCATCTTCTCCATCCATTCCTACAGGAAAAAGGAGGCAGAAATCAGCACACAACCAACCAAACACACAAACTAACAGTTGTGATGGGATTTGTGAGAACAAGTAGGATTTACCTGATCCTTTTTCTCCAGAGCTAAAGCCATCCCCTCGGCCATTTTGGCTCTGCTGCTCTGATGAGACTCGTTCTGCTCTTGGAGTTTCTTAATCGATGCTGTTCAGTGATAGGAAATAGAAACATAACCATACGAAGGTTTATATGTCAAAAATATAGCGGCTTTGTTAGTAGCTGTGAAAAGATTAGGTGTTCTCCCTAAGAGCAAACAAAATAAAAAGATATAAACAAAAGCAAGGAAGGAGGAGTGATGCATAGCAACAGAGAAAAAAGGCAGAGAGGCTATTATTGAAGAATCTGTGAAGGAAAAATAAATCCACCCTGTTTAGAAAAATGAACGCCATGTTTTCCATTACTGCAAACATTAGCAGTTGTTAGTTAAGAGCATTAATTGGGTAAACACCACAAAAATCAACACACCTCATATAAACTTCAAACATTTTCTCCCTCATGTCTCCTGAGATCATATTTATCCTCAGACCAACATTATCTTACTACAGATCCTTCATTTATTAGACATTTATGCCTGTATTTCCTAAATGGTTCTTCTCTCCCTGAAAGGAGATGCATTTAAATAAAACATATTGGGTTTTTTATTCTTATAGAGAAAAATAAATGAGTCTCTCTATAAGGTATTAATACTCTTACTGTTTTCCCCTGTTTTTCATGAATGTAACGATCATAAACAGGATTTTTTGAATCTTATGACTAATTTTACCATTTAAAAAACACACTTCTATAGATACTTCAGACAAATTTTTATTCAAGCACTTTTTCTAAATATTATTTCAAATTTTTATGTTTCAGAATATTGATTATGCATTTTGTGTGTGTGTCGTTTCTCCGCTCACTCCTTACGTACATAAATAATAGGGGTGGAATGGTTCACAAAATCCACGGTTCGGTTCGGTTCACGGTTGCGTGGTCACTGTTTTCGGTTCGGTGTTGATTGTTACCCCGAAATCCCATAAAAATGTATGAAATTAATGAAAAAAATCAAAAGAAATTAATGAATTGTAATTATTTTTAATGATCCACGGAAACCCTGGATCATTTCCGCATGTTTTGCTGCTTTGAATTTAATCATCTCGCGCATGCCCTCTACCATCTCCAAGGAACTCAGAGGGGAGCAGACGGGAGCGCAGCGGGGCGGGGCGGAGCGGAGCGCTGACGGAGTATTTGGGATTTCGGGGTTAGCATGACATGTTGGTCATGTTGCTGTTAGCATAAACAAAACTTGTTGCACAATGCTTGCACACTGTTGCACTTTTATCCACAACTGTCTTTCCGCCGTCATCGTAGGTCACTCTAAATGCAACGTGGTCCCATACAGCAGACCTATAAAGTGCTGCTGGCACGTCTTCCAACTCCTGTTCTTTCCCACTCGCCATACCCACACAATTCTACACAACAACTGATTTTTTTCTGCTACGCTGCTTCGCTTCTTCTTCTTCTTGTTTACTACTGGTGGTTGGCTTTGGTCGCAGTACCGCCACCTTCTGCTCTGGAGTGTAATCGCTTCGCCTATGAGAAAATGGAGCAGCGCATGAACCGAACGCAACACACGCGAACCGAACCGAGACACTCGAACCGAACGGTTCGGACGATTTTCATAAACCTTTCCATCCCTAATAAATAAGCGCCACCTTTCCAGCCCGCCTCTAAACTTCCAATACTTCATTGAAAAGCTCATCTCAGTGGGTAACAAAATACGTAAGTCAAAGTTTGATTGGTCACTGAGTTGTGGAGTTCTAGCTACGGGAAAACTACAGTGACGCATGCGCCTGGGCATGGCGTTTCTTACAGAAGGAATATTCCCGACGTATTCTGGATACTTAGAAGGGAACTTAGGCTTGATTTTGGGAGAAAACAGATTGGTGAATAAGCCCATGTAACGTAGATCATCTAAAATGGTTTACATAGTTCAGAAGACACACAAAAAATGAGCCGTTATCCACTTTATATTTACTTTATCATGGGGGAAAAACTCAGCTTTGGAGGATTATTACGATGTGATTTTATTTTATGGGGAAAAAAACATGATATTACTTTTTTGTGGAGTGCTATTTACAAAATTAGCCCATTTATGTGAGGAACAAACGTGTGTTGGAATAGCAGAAGCGGAAAACAAGGTAAGATGTGAAAATTAAGAATGCTAATTTGATGACAGATAAGTGATTTGTGTTTGTGGGGAATAGTTGGCTTACAATTGAGTTGATGGTCGTTTTCTTTAGGATCACCTCATTCTAAAGAGGTACAACATGTTGGGTTTTTCTTTACAAATAAGCTTGCTATCCAGAACAAAGTGTGGCATCAAAATGTCTCAGAGCCAGGCGGTGGGAGCTAAGGGGTTAAACATAGTTTCTATCTTTTTGCTTTTTTTTTTAGATGAAACTCCTCTATCTTTTCTGCTTTAAAGGCATTCTGTATAGGATGGTCCTGAAGCGAGGCTTTGCTTTAAGAAGTTGGACACTACTGGTGTAACCTGGGCTTTACCCCCTTTCCAATTAAACGCACTAAAGATTATTGATCTAACGCAACGAAGGGTAAAATAAGGGAAAAGGGTAGTAATACCTTTCTGATCCCTAGAACAATTTGCTACATAAACTACTTAACGCACAGATAACCCAGTGAAACGCTTTGGTCTTTAAATACAGTCTAGAACTGAGATGTAAAGGATCAAAAAGCATGAAAAAATTCACTGTGAAGGTTGAACACTGGCAAAAAAAACTCATCGGACGAACAGGTGTGGCTGCAATCATTATCATCTCATTAAACATGCAGAAAGCTGCAACAGCCATCAATGAAAAGGCAACCAAAAAAAGGACAAATTCCAAAAGCCCACTCTAATCAAATATCAAAAGAATATCTTGGGTGGATTTTTAGATTGAAAAAAAAAAAAAAAAAAAAGCAGATTTGAAACTGAGCAGTAAGAAGGTTAATGGCAGGAAGTATAGATGTGATTGGTGAAGCTAAGCAAAGTGGAAAGATGAGCAAGAGAAAGGAAGCTAATTGGGAGGAGAGGAGCGGTACGTACAATCCTGATGCCTTTCTAAAGCAATTTCAAGCTTCTCCTTGGTCTTCTGCATAATTCGTAGCTGCTCAGCGTAGTCTAGCGTTGAGGGGTAGAGTGTTGGGATGAGGTTTAAACGTCACATGTGAATACATCCACACACCAAACAGTAACAGACCAGTCAGGAGATGAGCAGGGGACGATATGAACAAACGGACAAGGAGAAACAAAAGGGAGAATGATTGAGAAACAATGGAAGGTAAAGTTACTGATGATTTTTACACCTGAGGAGCTCATTTAAATGCTCTATGACTCCTCAGCCTTTTCTGTGGGAGAAACATCACTGCAGCTACTAAAGGTGGGGGGGTGCAGGGCAAGTAAATAAAAAAAAAAACATTTCACCAAAGGAAAAAAAGAGCAGTTTCACAATCATGTTCATCAGAAAGATCAGTAAGAATTGACATTGCTTTACTTTGTCCTACGGTTTATTCCAAACTAATACTTTAGTATTTTGGGGGGATTTTTTTATTTTTTTATTAGAGCAAAAGTCTGTGGTAAATTCACAGCACAGCAATTAATAGAATTCATAAAACTGCTTAATTTCTCTATGAGAAGAAAGAAAAATAACTAAATAATACACTCATATTTGGACCATTATAGCAGTTGATGAGAAAGGATGCGTTTTAAAAACTTTAATTTCAACCACAGATCAGTGCTGCAGCTCTTTATTAGGAAGGTTTCCCTTCTGGCACAGCAGCTCAGGACAAAAATTGGATACTACACTTTAATCATGACTCCTCCATAAAACAAATGAACCAAATTGGTGTTAAAACAGTTGAACTCAAACAGCTCAGATATTTGTTGTACCACAAAGAGGCGTTTAATTCTTCCAGCCCTCAGGCATATTTCCAGGGTGTTAGCTTACAGCAGGCTGATTTTCCCCAAAGCCAAACATGTTTGAAGATGCTGAAAACAGATTTTAAGCATCATAACTGGTTCTAAAAGCTACACAACAGGAATCATGGTGGATTCTTGGGGAAGCCTGTCATGAATGGAAGTCCAGAAATGCAACATGATTCTGAAAACTCAAAGTTAGCCTCCATCAGAAATGTGACGCGTTTAGAAATAAATCAGAAGAAGTACAGATCCTCCGTACGTCAAACAAACTGGGCTTCCAAACGTTCCCAGGTTAGGAACTAGATGTTCTAGAGAAAACACGCATTAACTGCAGCATTGAGTTAGAAATACTAACATTACTAACTGCTGGTAAAGTTCACCTGCACTCCTGACTGTTACTATTGTAACTCTTTATATGCATCTTGCCCTACTCACTGCCGACTGATTATTTACAGCACCAATTGTTTACATTTACATCTGCAATAACGTACTTTAACTGTAATATGCAATTACCTTCCACTGCACTTTAATTTAGATAGCTTCTGGCCAAACTCTATTTATTCATTGTATAGTAAAACCCATCTGTATATATGCTATTGTACATGACTGTAAAAACCTTTTTTATTGTAATATCCACCTGTATATTATATTTGGTACATATCCAGCTTAAATTTAGTTTATAACACTAGTGATCTATATATTATATTCATTATTTATAACAGTATTCATCTCTATGTTCATTCAGTAGAAACCCACATCCTGTATTTATGGAACCATTATTTATTCTGCACTTGCTGCTTTTGCACTTCTGGTTAGACCTGAACTGCATTTCGTTGCCTTGTACCGGTACCTGTGTAATGACAATAAAGTTGAATCTAATCTAATCTAATATAGTTGAAGATGCTTAAGCCAAATGTCCTCTCTTTTATCTTATAACCTATGTTTAAAATATCATTAAAGCTGTGTTTAACAACCAAATATGCTGGATATCGTCTTTACTAGGGATTTATAATATATATCGCTATCAACCATTTTTAAACATATGGGTATTGGTCTGATAATCAAAGCTGGGTTGACGTTAATGGCTGATATTTAAACCCGTCTAGATGCTGTTTTTGATCTAGTAGAGGATTTGTGAAGGTGTGTTTGTTTTGTTATGCTACGTGGACAGTATGTAGAGCAGGATAGTGGGCGTTCAGCTGAATGCTGATTAGCATTGAATGCGCTGTGGCTGGTTTCTCACCGTTTCCAAAGTGAAGGGAAATATATAACATTGGTTATCAAACTCTAATATAGGTCCATCATTCCTCTGCCCATAAATAAAATAATTAACATTGAAGGAAGAAAGAGTAGAGAAACCGTTTCTTTAAGGCTTTTCCTTGATTCTCTTAGTTGTATTTTAGTTTCTAAAACTAAAATTCAACAACATTCTGATCAGAAGCTCTGGTAGAAAAAAGGGAGTATTATTCACTGGTTTATCTTCATATAATCGGGTGGTTTTCTTTTTTCTGGGCCGTTTTTCTAATGATCCTCAACTTTCATTTTGAATAGCGATGCACAGTATTATAAAACAATATCAGATGTCGGCCATTTTGCCAATATAATTGACAGGTACAGTATATAAGGATGTGTTTATGTGACAAACTAGTGAGGATTCTGCCTGACCTGCAGGTCCCAGACAGCTCATGCGTGAGTCTGTCACAGAAGGGATGTAGAAGTAAAAATGTCGAAGGTATTGAAGTTTTTCAAAGTTTTAGAAACAGATTGAAAAACTGCTATTTGCAATAATGCAGCAGAGAGAGAAACACATGGCGTCTGTAAATAGGTCTAAGGAAGGAAATATTGTTATTGCCCAGTTGCTTTGCAAAATAAAAGCATTTTAAATAGATTTTAGACTTAGACAACTTTTATTGTCATTTTGTATTCGCAGAGTGTATACAATGTGAAACTTTGTTTATTACAACTTTTCAGACATTAAAGGAACATTTCTATTTCATAAAGTGCAACAGTGGTCAAATGTAAACAGTGTGGGAGAAAAAAACATGGTGGAATAAACGCACTGATATGGAAGTTCAGTGCATTAATAAATAAGGTGCAATTATGCAGTATTTTTTGTTTAGTGTTAAAAATCCAACTTCCTGCATCCCTAATTTAGAATTGAAGCAAAGTCTTCTGTTTTCTGCAGCTGATGAATGATTCGGAGTCACAGTACCATCCAGAAACACGCAGTAAAAGGCTTTACCTTCTTCTCACTTATCATACCTGAAAGCTTGGCCTCCAGTTTCCGGATCTGATCATTTCTACGAAGAAGTTGGGCTGACAAGTCGTCCCTGGAGCTGCTGCCATCAGATGCCTAAGTTAAAAAAAAAAATAAATAAATAAAATGTAATTCAGACCTCCATCGGAGGGAACTTTAAAACAAAACCAGATAAAATTTCTAAATTGCAGTCGCAGGTGATAAAAGATCTTTGAATATCAAACAGCTCTATCCCCCCTCAAAAACAAAAATCACATTATGTGGAAAACCCACCACAAAGTGTATTTAAAGCTCTGTTTTTGTTTTTATATTAGATTGCTTAAATATTCTTACCAGAATCCTAACCTTACCAGAAAATTTTTTATAAGTAATAATTTAAAAAAAAAGAATTTGGGGGGGAAGACATTATTCCATTAATATAAAAGAAAACCAAAACTTTTTTCTCACAGATGTTTAGTATTTGAATGAAGCCATTTATTGCCAAACAACTGTGTTTATCTATTTATGTATTAATCATAATGACAACAGAAACTACCCAAGAGATGTGATGAACCTACCCTGATGATTTTAGCCTGATCACAAGTGGATCAGATGGATCTGAATGGCTGCTAAAAGTTTGTTTTTTAAAGTTCTACAAGTTTCTGACAAATCCCTGCATCTTCCACTCAGTGCTACAGGGAAATGTCTGGTTTCTTAGTGTCGGGAAAAGCAAATTAATAATCAAAAGGATTTTTAGAAAACAGGCAACTAGACAAAACAGGAGGGGGATTTAACGCTGTCCGAGGAACTGAGAATGCCAAACTGCAGTTTTCAATCTCCCATTAATAAGAGGAAAATTAGGATAAAAAAAGAACCCTGGTCCGATAGAACAATGAACATTTCAGGAACAGCAGAATTGCATTGTTTGGATACAAGGAAATTACCTCAAAATAACGTTTAACTGTGAAATAAAGGGGTGTCTTTGGGTTTAAAAAGCAAGATAAACGGCTGCATGGTCAAGGCTCAGATGAAAGTAATTAACATTCAATGGTAAAAAGTTTCCTGCTTACAAGACGTCGAACAGCACAGAGATCAGCCTCAACATTTCTGAAATAAAGGCCTTTGCAGTAAATGGACCAAACCTGAACTTTTTAGCTACAAACAAAACCCTCTGGAAGCTAACGCTGAAACGCGCACTAATCCTACTGGAGGTGGATCGCTGGTGCTTTAGGGATGAGTTAGCTGCCAAAGTATGGGGCATTTGGTCAACATTAATGCATAATTCTACCTAGATGTTCCAACATGAGAACGTTAAAAACCACTAGGCGGAGTGGACCTGTCATGGGGTGCTGCAGAACAAACGGATGGTTGTTCTGCAGGGCTTTTCAATTTGCCTGAAAAATGTATAATTAAATATAAAACCTTTTAATATCAGTTATATGCATAATTTGTTTTTTCTTTTTGCCTTTTTGAAATAAGTAACGGGGAAAAATACTGAACTAAAACTGTTACCCAAAACCTTTCTAACCTTAATCTTTAAAAGCCGATGAACCCTCCCACCAAATCTTAGTTTGGCTGTTAGAGCTTATCGTAAATCCTTTCCTCTGCCTGCAACTGAAATTATCTTTTTTATCAGACATAACTAGACACCGATCAAGTGTCTATTACAATATATATAAATACTGTTTTTGTGGCTAGCACTTTTAGTTGGCCATCTCAGTCTCCTGACCTCAATCTTATTGAGTCACTCTGTCGCGATCTCACACAGCCCAGGAATTTAAAGGAACTGGAGGCTTTTTGCCAAAGAGAAAAGGCACCTTTACCATGACTGGTTTAATCCCAGTTACCACCATGGTTTTCAGTGTTAACGAAGGCAATAAAACTTATTCTGTATGCGCACTTCTGTTCTGGGTCATTTCAGTAGTTCCTGCTTTCACCATGATATAAAAAGAGTAGAGACAGTCTTTTGATAATAAATGACTTCACATCATAACTCATCAGGAAGAAAAAAAAAAATGTCATCCCATTCTTTTAAAAAAAGAAAATCCCAACAATGATGATCTCATGATTTCAATGAATGTACTAATTATGAAAGAGTGCAGAGAATAATCTTAACGGCTGGACTGCACCAAAAACGTTCCAAGTAAAACCAACACGCTGCTTCTTCCTACTGAATTATTTAGAGCAACTGATAGGATGGATCTGTAGTCGCCTGGCGAGAGACGACACCAGCCTGTAGGCTCCAACAGACAGAGCTTTAACACATCAGCACAATGGTTTTAGAGAGTAAACAGCAGACTGACAGAAGATACACCCAGAAGGAAAACAGTCACAGAAATAATCTGTGGTTAAAAAAAAGGATTATCTGACAGGTTGAATAAAAACATTAAGGACTTTTTATATTATACCTGTGTTTTTTTTGACCAACCCATCAAGACATCCTTGTTCCACAGCAATGTTGGTCACACCCTTGTCCTGTTGCTCAGACCTGCCGAACTGGTGATAAAGGGCCAGGGCGTCTGAGCTTAAAGGTTGTTAAAATCCAGAGGTTTCTATAACCTTACAGTTCTAAAGAGGGTTTATTTTTTTTACATCTAATTTATGAAATCCAACCTGATCTGAATTGATGGCTCAACTTTGAGCATTAAAACTAAAAATAGCACTTAGATGCTATTACTAAGCACAAAAGGCAGTCATTTCTCAACCTTAATAAAAACAAAACTGCATTTTATTAAAATGTTTATTCCTTCCCTTATATTTTGCTAACCTGACCTTATTTATTGCTTTTTACAATACTAGTAAGTGTTTATATAATTTCAATAATTTGTGACATTATTTGGATAAAATTAAAGAGTTCCCACCGTGGGAAAGAAAGTGTGAAGTTGAGGGCCAAGAAAGTTACTTGTTTTTTTTTTTAAATGATCGAAATAGGAAAAAATATTTGTTTATCTGTAAAATTTTACTGTGTTTTCTCTGCCCAAAGATAATATTAATATCTAATTGAAACAAATACAGACCCATTTATGTAGAAAAAGATGAAAAAAATAATGGCTGCATGTTAGACATCAGTTTCTATAGGTTGTTGTTTTTGTTTTTTATCTAATACCAGACATAAGACTACAAACTACTTACAAAGTCATCCCCAGAGTCTGCTCCCACTGAGGCGATGGATTCCTTGCTGATAGTCCGGGGGATACGGACACCAGTCCTTGGAGCTGTGGCTGCCTCCTCTGCAATCTTTTTCTTTAGTTTAGCAAACATGTTGCTTCCTTCAGAGTCTCTTTTGTAGCGCAGTTTACAGAATCTGCAACATTTGAGACAACATTCATGGATTTTAATGCTCTTTGATCAGAGTTTTGAAGCAAATCTGTGTTATTTTGCATGCAATTTCATACAGGCCTACTGTTGTTTGCATTCAGCTGTATAACAGAAATAAAAGCAACACTTAACAGATGGAAAGGACGGACAAAAGAAGTTGTTGAACCAGCAGTTTAAAATGCAGAATATGACAGTCAGTGCTTTGAGGATTAATCTCATTTGCTCTATGACATCAATTTAATTATCTATGTGAAAACAATTCGAACTGCCTTGCTACGGTGTCTTGTGAGGACAAATTGTCTTTTCAACAACAACGCGATTCAAGGATGTAAAAGCCGGGTTTGGACAGGACAGGTGTAAAAATAAAAGAAAAAAAGAAATAAAATACAATCAATGATTATGTGTGTTGGTATGAAAACACTTTTTTTTTTATTTAGCTAATCACAAGTTGTGGGAGTAAACGAGTTGCCATAAAACACAGCTGCTTATTCTGACTAAATCTAGGCGCACCATTTAGCTAACACACAGCTGTCCTTTCAGTGTTGATCCGATTAGGGTCGTCCAGGCAGACTGTCACTCAATGTTTTGACAACCAGCTAGCTCTGCTGCTTTTAACAATGAAAGTAAATGTTAGCTTTAGCTAGCTTACTCCTTTCCCAAAGTGCCCTGTCTTACCATATTGACACCGACTGAATATTCCCTTGCAGTGTTTTTGGCTTCCTCGGTGGCTTTACATGTTCCCTCTTTTTCGATATACATTTAAAAGCAGCAGAAATAGAGTAATTGAAATTAATATATTACTAAACTCGATGAAACTGTCTCGTCTGGCAAGCTAGCTACTGGGGAGCTAGCTACACGTAATCAGCCAAACACCAGCTGACTTTGCGTGTCAGAGGACAACGTCTCTGCTGATTGGTTAGGAGAATTTATGGGCGTGGCTACGTAGATAGTAGCAGAGGTATTCCCTCAGCGGGCATGAGCTGCAGATAACACAGAAATATAACTATTCACTAAAGAAATGAAGGAATTCAGGTTCAACGATATTTTTATTCTCTAATTTTCAATATAAAGTATTATTTAAAAAATTATCATATTCAAACAACAACTATGGAAACCGAAGTGTCCCAATTTTCTCACTAAAATGCAAAACAGAAATATTTTCCATTGCTTTCATAAATTAAAGAGTTACAACGGAGTATTAGGGCCAGGCTAGAGATTCTTTTTCATTTCTTAGAATAAAGTCGTAATATTACAAGAATAAATACAATGTTCCTAGTCGCCTACATTTATTATGTAACTTTTTTATAGTTGATTTAAAAAAAAAAAAACAGATCTTTGTGATTAACAATCTTTAATCACATTCTCCCTCTATTCTCCCACTCTGCATAATCTGTTAGTTCAATCTCTAACGTTCTGCTCTCTGTTTTTTTCTCACAGTAGCTTCATCTGGTCTGTTCCTGTTTGGCTGTGACTCCATCCTGGAGAGAAATATCAGCTGTCCTGTTTCTCTGACTGTGTCCGTCTGGATGTGCTCTCTTCATCCTCTGGCATGGCAGCTGGCTCGGAGCTCGTCTGCCTGGCTGTGTGTTTCCTGGACGGGGCCGCCTTTCACCGTTGCCTTTTGCATTTCACACTGAGCCTGGTTCTGCTGGAGGTTTCTTCCTGTTAAAATTGAGTTTTTCCTCTCCACTGTCGCTACAAGCATGCTTAGTGTGAGGGATTGCCATCCAGTCAATGAGTCGATGCAATCAACTGGTTTTCCTCAGAAAACTTTGAATCAATTTGACTGGAGGATCTGGTTGAACTGTAAAGTGCCTTGAGATGACATATGTTGTGAATTTGTGCTATAAAAAATAAACTGAATTGAACAACTGAAATGTTAGGGAAATAACAGCAAACATTTTATTTGTTTTTCTATTGTTATTCCAAGAAGGTAACATGAATGAAAAACATGTTATTTAACAATCACAGCTTATTGTGAATTGGAATGAGAATAACAGTTCCTAACAGTTCCTGACTTTAAAGTGATCCTTAAAAGTTCAACTGAATACAAACAGAGGTTCCTAAAACTTTCCCCAACATCAAGTATTAAATAATATTTGAACTTTGATAAAGATGATGCAGTCATTCATAATCCAGCCTTAATAGCACTCTACATTTCTCTACAGAACAGCAAAAACATAATTAACCCTCGATTCAGCATCTTTTGAAAATCTACGCAAAATATTTTGAAAAGAATTGTTACCAAAGTTAAAGCGTTATAATAATCCAATTTGGGGTGACTTGGAATTCAATTCAATTCAGTTTATTGATATAGCAGCAATTCACAACACATCATCTAAAGGCAGCTTTATCTGTATGTTTGCTTCCCTGTATGTTGATGTTCCCCTGAGCAAGGCACTTGAGCTCAAAACAATTAATTTTTGTATTATGAAAAAAAACTAAATCCATTTATTATCCCACAATAGGGAAATTCACACTCTGCATTTAACCCATCCCCTTGGGGAGCAGTGGGCTGCCATTGTGTGGCGCCTGGGGAGCAATAAGGGGTTAAGGGTCTTGCTCAGGAACCCAGAATGGAGGCTGTGGTAATGTGGTGAAACAGGTACTTGCAACCTTCTCAGAGCACAAGCACACCACTCTAACCCACTAGGCCAACACTCCCCCAATTTATATTATTTTTGTTTAAAAGACTGCTGCACTTTAAGAAATGTGATAAAAGCTACACTAAACAAAATTTCGTTGTGTATACAAAAAGACGATAAAAGTTGTCCAAGTTAAAATTATTTGCATCAGATTGGCCAAAAAAAACAGGTTGATCCTAACCTTTCGGTAAATGGACTTATAGGTAAAGAGAAAGGTGTGGAGTGGACTTTCTAAATAAAGCAATAAGACCAAGATGGCATCTCAGCAGATAGCCGCAAACTACAGTATACTGGTGAAAGTATGATAATCTGGGTTACTTTGCAACTTCAGGATCCCAATTGTTTAAATTCTTATTGGGACACAGAAATTTCCTTTTTTTTTTTTTTTATCAGAAAGCCAAAGGATAGTTCCTAACTAGTAAATCTAGGTGTTTTCTTTGCATCAGGTGCAACTTTACTGGTGACAATAATGTTTTTGAGATAAAAAGCAGACTTAAATCCTGAGAGAATGCATTAGGATGACCTTAAAAGCAATTTAAAACTGATTAAGGAGAACATATTGAGGGAAAGCAGTTATTTATGCCTCTTTACCAAAGTCTTATGGACTAAAACTCTAAATATTTTTTTATTTAAAAACAAGCAGAAATAATATCCACAAAGAACTGACTATACATTTGCATATTACAGACAGTTCTGAGGTCACCACAGCATAAACATGAAGGAGATGAGCGTATCTTTACATATCAACTCTCAGGTGTCTGGTTTATTTACAGGCTTACATGGAACTGAGAGGTGTCAGGATACAGAATTTTGATTTTTTTTAGCAGTGCTTTTTATACGTCCAGCTAAATACATACACCGAAATAACATTCAAACAATCTATACAACACCGCATGTGCAATTTCTTTTTAATGTAAAGATCGAAGCTTTATAAATATGATTTTACATCGTCAGTTGATCAGAGTCCTTTTCTCGTACACAGCAGGACAGCAGTGATGCTCAGCAACTTTCCTTTGCTGTAGTATTTAAGCGAAACCTAAGCTGCAGAATAATGGCATCAAACGCACAAAGCAGGAATAAAAACTGGCAGCCGGCACCGAGAAGTGCTCCCTCAATAATCAGTTACACCAACATTTAAATGGGTTTATAAGTGCTGTGTCTCTGTCTAATGACCGAGCTGCTTTCGTCTACAGGAAGTAAGGTGTCGTCGTTCTGGGAGGAATGACTCTTTCAGAGTCAGGCACTGCTCTGAACAGCTTTGGCTCCCTTGTGTTAGCGTCTTTGAAGACCATGATGGATGCGATGTTGCCGCAGCGGTAGCAGTAATTGGGAGCTGACCAAACCGTGACGAGCTTCTCATCAAACATGAACTTGTAGCCTTCGTGGACAAGCTGATGAGCCCTGCAGATGAGCTTCAGGTTGTTGATGTGAACAAACTGCAGAAATAGAGAAAGTATTAGATGTAGTTCGAAGTTCGACACCAGCCCATTAATTACACCCATTTCAAATCCCCATCTCAGCATCTGCACCGCAACCTCTTCAGTTTAAAACCTCAAGACTCTGTTATTATATCTCACATACATTATACCCACCTTAACCACATCAAACTATAGAGTTAAATCTTAGTATTAGCAGAATTATAACACTGATTGCTGACCTAAAGAGCATACCTTTTGTATTGCTGTACTTTAGATGCTAATGAGGTGCTGAATTAGGTAAAGACAAGAGAACTATTTCTAAATAAAGTCCTGAACACAGTAGTTGTATATTACCCCATTTACACTACCCTTGAAAAACTAATCCATGCCGAGACCGGTCCGAGCTCGGATCAGCTAACCAGGCCGAGCTCGGTTCTGACAACTGTTTACACATCACGCTATCTCAGTTCCTCGACCCCTCGCCTCCTAGTGACGATCTGCGGTATTACGGCCAGTTTTGAAGGAGGAAATCAAGCAGTTGGTGGCGTTAATGCACCAAAAGTTGTTTGCCAACCGCCATAAAACACAAGAAGAAAAAGACAAGGAAGGAGGAAATCAAGCAAATCAAAATGGTGGCGCCCGTCACATTCAGAAAGTTATGCTTGATTATTATTGCTGTACTTCAGTGTTTGCGGAGGGTCAGGCGAAGACGGCAACCTTTCATGGATTTACTTGAGAAAGTCGGCTTTTGTTTATAGTTGTTCTTCTTCTTCTGTTTTGTGTTGGTTGGCAAGCAACTGCCGGAGGGGCATTACCGCTAACTACTGGAATGGAGTGTGAATCGCGATGTGCAGCCAGACAGAGATGAGGCGTTCTGCTAATGCGCTCTTGTTGTCAGAGAACCGAGCCGGGGAAAAACCGAGCCGAGCCCACCTCTGGAACTGGTCTGCAGTTATCTCGGTCCGGTTGTGTCTAGCTCGGTATAGTTCAGTTTGCTTTCCATTTATGCACGATAAGTTATCTCAGTTACTGAGCTCGGACCCGTCTCGGCACAGTTTTTCAAGGGTAGTGTAAACGGGGTATATGACTTTATAATCTCTGATCCGATTTTATTCGAGGCACACTGAGTATAGAGAGGCTCCGATTAGACAGGGTGAGCAGATCTGCACACTTTCACTTCCGTCTCTGTGCTATACACAAATTAAAACAATTTCCTACGTTTGACTTGGGCATATTATGAAAAGTTATATAAAAAAAACACACCAGTGGATTTTATAAAGAAAAGCCCCACTTAATGAATCTGTGCAGAAGACAATAAATAGAGAATGTTAATAGGCCTGAATTAAAAATACAGTGAGATCTACATCTAAAGAAAAGAAAGACAGAAATAAGTGGGATGGTTTCTATGCAGACTGAGGCAGAGAGGTGATTCTTAAAAAGAAATCTGGGAAGTTTATCACGTTTAAAGTTTTTCTTTTTTTCATAAAGAGGTGAGAGATACGACGCCCCGACCTGCTCTGTCTGCCCCTCGTAATTTTGTTTTTTTGTTAAGCTCAAAGAGGATCACTATTTTATCCGTTTCCTGTCCTCCTGAATTCCTATCATGGCTAAAGTAGGGCTGAAATGATTAATCAGATTAATCGTGATTAATTGATTATTGAATGTCAACTAATTTAATAATTGGTTAATCGAGTATAGAGACTATAAAACATGCCTTTACCTGACAGAGCGACCCACTTAGAGCAGGGATTATATAAAGATTGTAAAAAATATAAAAACATTTTGCATTAAGGTAAAAAAAAAAAAAATCATCTGTCAATATGCTCTATCCAGAACTCCTCAGGTGGAAAAGTTGATTTCGTAAAAAGTCTTCTTTTAGAAGCTTTAACAAACTATCCAATTAATAAACGATAATTGTAAAAAATTAATCAACAGATTAATTGATTTGCTAAATAATCTTTAGTTACAGTCCTAGGGTAAAGTTAACTTTTTCGAATGTTTCATTCATTATTTTTGTACCAGTCTGTCCTGCTTACTTCGTACACAATGTGAGACTCCAAAACTGATTCTTTCCCCGTGTGATTAACAGATTTTATTTTGCATTTCAAACCAAAGTGGATGCGTTTTACTTCTCTCTTCCTGTCAGACCCATGAAATTACCGCTGAATTGCTGCGTAGTCCGACTAAAATAGAACCTATGAAATCCCCCTGCATAAAATCAATGGGGGTCTTATCCTCCCCATCGAATTTCAATGAGCGCTAAACACCGTGACCACGTCTGACATGATTTTCTGTCCAATCAAAGTCAAAATCAGATTTGGTGAGCTCTTGCCTTAAGGATTTGCTCCATATCTTTCCTCTATTTTCAACACCGATTCATGGCCACCTTAAACGCCCCTCTAGGTACAGTTTACCACAAATAAACAATAGCAAAGACTGATCTCCATAACTCCTGCTACAAAAAAAAAATTTTTTTTTTTTTTTAAATGCATGTTTATGTAAGATTACCTAAAAAAAATGGCTCATAACCATCTATTAAAATTAGCTATTTTTATCTACATTAGATAAACATTCATCTTAGCTGCAGTATTGGCTGGAAGCGATTCAATCAGCCCCGTCTAAAACCTCCAGAATGCGATTGGTGCAGTTTTTAGGTGTGTTTTAGTCCTTATCGTCCAATAATATAATCTATTAACAAGAGTTCAATGAATTCAGGTATTTTAAGGCCGTTGCCAACATGATTATTTTGACATCAGTCTACTGATTCCAGATATGTGCTGGGGATTTTTTGGGGCCATTTTTGAAGTAGACATTACTAGGGGTGGGTTAAATAATTGAAGAATCGATGCATCGCAATTATTACACGCAAAATTCATAATCGATGCGGGAGCCCCTCAGAATCGATTCACCTCCTGACCGTTGGGGGCGCTGTTGGCACTGTACACAGAGGTGAAGACGGCTGTGTTGGAGTCGCTAAAGGCTGCTTAAAGAGTCGCGCTGACGTGCGATGGCTGGACTTTGAGAGCGACTGACCACTACATAACCATTACGTCTCATTTCATATCAAATGAGTGGGAATTAGTTTCAAATGTGCTTCAGACCAGGCCGCTTCACAGAAGTCACACAGGGAGCAACATAGCAAACATGTTGATGGAGGCAATAAACGAATCGGGCATTACCGGAAAAGTAGCTGCTGTTGTTACAGATAATGCTGCCAACATGCTAGTTGCTGTCGATATCACTGAGCTATTACATGTTGGCTGCTTTGCCCATGTGCTCAACTTGGCATCCTAGGCTGCTCTTAAAACTCCTGCAGTCACACGGCTTCAAAAATCAGCATTGAATCGAATCGAATTGCATCGGATCGAATCGTAACAGCAATATTCGAAATCGAATTGAATCATCAGGTTCCTAACAATACCCAGCTCTAGACATTACTGCTTCTTTCTTCGTTTAATTGATAAAAATGATTGTTTAACAACTGTTTTAATTGAAACAGAAAACAAACAAGATATTAAAAACTGATAAAAAAAAGGAGGACTGGGCCATGCAAGCTCTTGTCATGGCTGCTAAATGAATCCGTGAACTAGGGAGACGCTGATACGCAACAAAAAAAATGAGAAGATCAGCAAAAAATATCAACCTGCAGATGCACAGATCTGCCTTGATTAAATCGGCTCCCATAGGTTTTGCCGACAGACCTACCTCATTTGTAACTTTTGCACCAAAGAGCCAACCGGCCCCTCTGGGACTGATGGCCCAGGTATCTACGTCCTCTGGGTCCGACCACACCAGGTCACAGAAAGCTCCTTTATGAGGGATCTCTTGATTTCGCTCGATGGTTCGGATTTGATCGAGGGTTTTGATGTCAGGAGAGAGGCCGCCGTGGACACACAGAATCTGCTCGTCCATTAGCTGACAGAGGAGACAAGAAAACAGAATCCCTCTTCTTTTTTAGTTCGCTGTAGCAAAGCTGTCTGTGCTCAAAGCATCCTTCATTTAAAAAAAAAAAAAAAACATGACATATTCCCAACTTACAGCTGCAACTGTTAGCATATCAAACACTTTGGTGCAGTATCGCCATGCGTTTGCATTCCCGTATTTGGTTTGGCACTCATCTGTGAAATATGACATTTCCCGCAGATTTTAGGGATGTTTGCAGTGGATGTCCCATCATTCTCCATTGAAATAAACCTCACCATAAAAGCCGTAGACTTGCGTAATCTGCCTGCTCTCGTGGTTCCCGCGCAGCAGTGTGATGCGGTCGGGCCACTTGGCTTTCAGCACCAGCAGGTAGGTGAAAGTCTCCAAGCTATAATATCCTCGGTCAACAAAATCCCCCTAAAGAAAACAAACGCTTGTTACAAAAAACTCAAAAATACCCTCATCCTTATATTTATTCAGATGGAAACACACAAACCATGAAGATGTAATTTGTGTCTGGAACCTGGCCGCCGGTTCGGAACAGTTCACATAGATCGTAAAACTACAACAAAAGCACAGATTGAATTAGTTTAGGCTCAACATTTTATTAGCAGAAATAGAGAAAAAAACAAGGAAAAGACTCAATTTGACAAATGAATAGAAAATATTTTACCTGTCCGTGAATATCTCCACATACTGTTACGGGTGTAGAGACAGGCTGAACGTTTGACTCCTCCAGCAGCAGATCACACACATAGTCGCATAACCTCTACATAAAAGAGAAATGGTCAGAAAGGAGCCTCTGTGGCTGATCACACACAAACCTACAGATGTTTAAAAGAAAAACTACAAACAAAGCAGGGAAAACTAATAACTCCTCCTGATTCCATTTAAAGGTTCAGTTTCTGACCAGATAAAACTGTCAATTAAAGCACAAGAAGGATTTAAGAATTTAACTGATAGATGCTGAGAATTTGACTGTCCAAATGATGTCGAGTCATTACAGGAACAATCAATCAGAATCATCTAGGAACTAGGGGTGTAAATAATCATCGTTTTGTATCGATGCATCGATCCAACAGCTGACGATCCGATGCATCGATACGTCCGCAAGATAATTGATTCATGTCTTTTTTTTCCCTCCGGTCTATTTTTATCCATTTTGTTCCTGGACGTAATTCTTCCTCCCGTGCTGCGGTGGCGCTAAACCTATTTTGCCCTCCTACATCGCTTCCTGGTTATACTCTTACAGCAGTGTGTTGCAGTGAGCTTGACACAGATATTTTTGATTTATGCTCAATATTGAAGCATGGTCTGTGCTACACACTGTGGGTCTAGATACGGCCGAGGCGAAGAGGAAGTGGGGGTGAGTTTAGTCCGACGACGGAGAGACATGAGGGCCAAAAAGAGCGGAGATCCAGCTGGAAAAAGGGTCCCAGCCTTCTCGTGCACCTCGCTCTTCTAGCTGGTCAAACTTCACGAGTTGTTTTCTGCAGTTTCGGTCACAAAAACAAAACAAGCCGGCCTCCCGCTGCGGCACTGTCTGCGGTCAGCTACAATTTGGGAGAGGAGCAGCGGAGTGTCTGTGGAGGGGGCGGGGACATCTGGAGCCGAGGTATTGCATTGCACTCATTGCACTGATTTTGTGCAGTATTTTTTGATGCGAGGCCTTTCAAAATCTATAACGCAGGGGAATTATTATTTTCAGTAAATGAGGTTTTAATAGGAATAGGTGGAGTACAACTTTTCTACTTCTATTATTTGCTGTTGTTTCTAAAAAAAAAAGAAATGCATAACGATATTAAAGCTTTCATTGATTTATTTGAAACATTGTCTAGCCTGTAAGGTGTTAAAAAACAAAAAAACAATCGAATTGAATCGTATCGTATCGTGGTGTATTCTTGAGTGTCGAAAATAATCGAATCATTGGGTCACGAAATCGATACTGAATCGAATCACCATCGTGGGTGGGTTTTACACCCCTACTAGGAACTTCAATTGCTCTTTTTAGGACAGGAAGTCCACAGATGTCTGAGGTTAGTCAGCTACACAGCAAAAAAACTAAATCTAAGTCACTTTTTCTTAAAATAAGTGCATTTTTCTTGAATTGAGGAGGTAAGTGAGACACTTTGCCAGTGGAACAAGACAATTACCATTTAAAATAAGAAAAAAAAAACAATTGCGCTGTCTTATTTCAAGTGCATGTTATCTAGTTATTTTATTTTAATGGTTAAAAATAATAACTCCGTTGGCAAATAATCTTATTTATCTACTCAAATTAAGGGTAAATACACTTCTATTAAGACATTTTTAGTTATTTCTAGATCGTTTTTGCTGAGTATTTACTAACTAGTCAAACTTAATAGAGCAGAGATGATACACAAGAATATCAGTCAGTCAAAGGTTTAATGAATTTACACAACAGCTCAACACTTCATCATGTGTCAGTTTGAATGTGTTATTTTACCCATCTTTATCCAAACTTGAGCAATTTTTAGGTCTGAAACAATAACATGTGATTAATCCAAAACTAAAAGAATCATCACATAATTTTAACTCGAGTCTAAAAAATCTAAGGCCGAAACCATTAACTGAAACAGCAACCCACTCAGAGCAGTAAATTTTAGAGACGCCCAGATTAATATATTGTTATAATATGGACTATTATTCTGTTTGATTAATATCACTTTATCAAGCCTCATCTTACAATTTCAAACTCCAAAATAAGTAATAAAAGTATGTGTGATTAGGGTTGGTGTCGATATCAGTCGATACTCAGGCTGCAGTATCGGATATCAGAGATGAAAAGGTCCTATCGGGAAAACCCCATTAATTATGTCAAAATTGTAAAATATTTCTAAATATATTATTTACATTTAGAATGAAAAACCTTTTTAGTCCTGTGAATATGTCCTACATAGAACTGTGTGGCAAAATTTGTGAGTGGTACCTTTAAAGGTACCATTTTGCAATACAGTGATAAAAAAAAAAAAAAAAAAAAAAAAAAAAAAAACCGACATATTTATCTATTACCAAAATAATCATAATTTGAAGCCCTAGCAATGTTACTTTCTAAGATTAATAAAAACTTAAATATAAAAAAATAAAGAAATTACTGTGGAAACCACATGCTGAAAAAAGAGAAAGTCCATCTATCAGTGTGCCAGGCTCGATGGAGGCCACAGCTCTCAATCCTACTCCTTACCTTTTAAAGGTCTAAACCTACTAATCAAACTAAATACTCTATTAAATTTTAGCGACAAGAAATCTAAAAGTCTGGCTATTATTAAAACCTACACTCTGAAACAGGGATAAGAATATTTTGCCATTGAACCTGCAGAGTGCGACAAGTAAAAATCCTTCACAATGTTTTTAAATGAGCTTTCTTTCTATTTCAGTCATTAAATGCTGACAATCATGGACAAAATAAGCCGTTAGCTGTGCTGTCATAGTTTTATTCATCGCATACTGTTACTAAATCTGGCCTGTAGCGTGAACATCCATAAATAACTGATGGCAGCGTTTATCTGGAGGAATTATTTCTATTAGAAAAACCATCTAAGTCACTCATAAACCTTTGCAAATCACTTCTTGTTTTATCTTTTTACTAAAGCTGCACCACTGGTGACAGAAATATCAGATGTAATCCTCATAGTTTGCCAGAATAATGAGGGAGCAGGAGATGATGGTGTTATGTTATCTCTATCCTCCCACTATGAAGAATCTGTCAACGTTCTGCTCTCTCTGCTTTTTCTCATAGTAGCTTCATCTGGTCTGTTCCTGTTTGGCTGTGACTCCATCCTGGAGAGAAATATCAGCTGTGCTGCTGCCATCAACACCTTTGTTTATAGATGTTGGATATCTGTCTGTTTTTCAGTGTAGTCCTGTTTCTCTGACTGTGACTGGCTGGATGTGCTCTCTTCATCCTCTGACATGGGAGCAGGTTTGGAGCTCATCTGCCTGGCTGTGTGTTTCCTGGACAGGGCCGCCTGTGGAGCTGATGGACAGTTGTCTTTTCTATCTCTGCTTTTGTCTCCTTGAACCCCAGTCGGCCGCTCACACTGAGCCTAGTTCTTCCTGTTAAAAGGGAGTTTTTCCTCTCCACTGTCGCTACAAGCTTAGTGTGAGGGATTGCCTTAGAGTCAATGAGTCGATGCAATCAACTGGTTTTCCTTAGATAGAACACTTTGAATCAATCTGACTGGATGATCTGGTGAACTGTAAAGTGCCCTAAGATGACGTGTGTTGTGAATTAGCGCTATATAAATAATCTGAATGAATTGAATTAAGGTCAGAATAAACAAAAACCCAGGATTCAGGTTTCACCCTTAAAAAAATGTATCTGTGGTCCTTTTACACCTTAAATAGACCTTCTCCTGGAGGAACAAGGAGGCTGGATAGGCTTTAAAAGGAAGCTGAATGGAGATAAAAACAGACCAATCCTAGAACAAAAACCTGTCAGAGGCTTTAAAAGGTTTAACACAGCAGAGGAGACTAACTCTTTAGCAGGACAGCAACTGTATATATATAACCAGTACATTTGTGTCAGACTGGCCCAGTCAAAGTAACGGGGATCACTACTGAGTGTTGTGACCTACTCTACTACTAAAAATAGGACAATAACAGGTGGGCTACCGGGTGGGATTATCATTACTGGACCAGTATGATAGCAAAACTACCACTTTAGACCTAAAATGGTGCTGCTAGCATGATTTGGTGATTTAATACCAGCTGTGTCTGATCCCAGCTTCATACCGACTGACTCAGTGCTGCTCAAACATAAACTGTTCAGTTCTGGCTTCCTGTCCCTAAACAGCAGCTTAGCATCGACAGCTACAGCAAGCTAACATCACCTTCATAACCACAGACAGTGCTGCCATTCACTGCTAAACCCTAATCTGGTTAAAACACAAACTTCTCATTTACCTTGAGGTCGTTTTCTGGGAGATATTTACACTGTTTGGCAATCTCCGCGTATTTATCCAAATCTAGCGGCGCCATTGTAGCGCGAATAGTTCACTCCTTCGCGCTTCCTGTGACGCTCCGGCGCAGATCCTATTGGTTTACCCTCTGGCGCCATCTAACGTCAGCCTGAACAAACTTCACATAAGTCAATCAGTGGCTTACAGTTTGACAAAGTTCAACTGGAATAATCCTGCTAAATATTTAATATAATACAAGAACATTTCACAAAACTGGTTAAAGATACCTTAAAGAAATTGATTAATCCGAAATTCATATTGAATAGGGAACAATGCTTGTGAAGGTTCTCTGTCATCCAGGTCATAGTCATTCCAAAAACTTGCAAACCAAATCCAGTGGATTGTTTTTCATTTTTCTATTTTTTTTTTGAATAGGAAAAATAATCACTTATGCAAAGCTTTTAATTTATTTAGTATTTGGAAAGCAGCACACAAATAATGCTCAAGATCCTTTTACGTGTATTTTGTAGATTATCTTCTGCTGTAAAAACTTCATGTAATAATAATATATAATAATGTAAAAATAAACAATAATGCAATCAAAACTCTTTCTCTTGAAATATTAAAAAAATATATTGTAAGAAAAGTTGCTTTTCAAACTCCAGAAAAGTTTCTTCTGCCTTTTAGTACACAGAATGTTCTCTCTGAATGTGCTTTTGTATAATCCCATGTCAACAATTTTACACACTGTATATTTTGCCATATTTTCATATTTTATGTGTTCCCATTTATTACGTATGTATTTCTATGTTTTGTGATAAAAATCAATGGTAATGCCACATTGCACAGATTCAGACTGCAACATGTTTGTATTGTTTTTTGATGCAATTTTTAACAAATGTTAAATGTGCATAATTTTATTCACATGGTATAAATTTAACGCAAGATGGAGTTCCCTATTCGTAGGTTTAGTGGTTTTATATTTTCCCACCCTTGTGTTTATCCCCATGCTTCCATTTGCAATCAACCTTGCTGTTGTGACAGGTGAATTTTCCCAGTTAGGGGCAATTAAGATTATTCTATTCCATTCTATAATATTGTATTGTATTATATTATGTTCTATTATATTATATTCTGTAAAACAATGAGAAATATTAATAAAAAGGAAGAAATGGTAAGGAACAAATTTGAAGAAAAAAGTGAGGACTAAACATAATAAAATGTAATGCAGATTAAATTGAAGGAATGTAACCTTGATCTGTTCATGTGAAGTTAGCCTTTACCTCTGTTGTGTCTAGGTAACATTTTAAGATCTATGTGTAACACAGACCTTCCAGTGTTGCTGGTTATGGACACCTGGAACCTTGAGATTTTTTTCTCTTCGTGATAAACTTCCAATAAAAACTGCAGGGAAATTTTAAGAAGAAATTAACATCGCCATAATAATCTGTATAAGAGTAACTTCCTTAATTATTCAGCTCTTTTTGTGGGAAGAAGTTTATATGTATTATTTTGTAGGGACAATACCCAGAAGATTCACCTCTCACCTTATTACTTGAGTAAAATTTACTCAAACTTTTCAACTCTTCCACTGTAAGTAACTTGAGGTATTCAGATCAGGTGGAAATACAACAAACTGTTGATATTGGCAGTAAGAAATCGTTACCCTCTCCCAATATATGTATAATTATCACTGCAATTTGTATGTTGAAAATATTAATTTGGAAAATGGTTTCTACTGCATGAATTTGTATTTTAGTAACAAATTATTTTATTCTTTAAAATGCAAGAAATTTCACATGTCTGTCTGACAACTTTTTTTATTTGAATAAAAAAGTTGAAATAGTGCTACTCTTACTTGAGTACAAATTTTGTATACTCTGCCCAGCTTTGGCTTCCTGCTGCAGCTGTATCCAATACCAACGACAAACTTTATTCAATTCAATTTCTATTCAGTTTATTTATGTATCACCAATTCACAACACATTCATAGATTTATAATAATAGGATCATTAGCGTATTTATAATCTATGTCAGACACACCACAGAGAGACATTAATCTTACAATTTATCTGAGCTTTACAACATACATCATACAATTTTTTTTTATTTGTTTGTTTTTTTTATTCATCAGTATAGCAGAAGTCAGAGGAACTCAGGAGAAGGAGGATGCTGCGTTTTATGAGAAGCGTATCAAGTTTTCTATACTTTGACCACCAGGGGGCGATATAAACACGCACCTGAGGTATGCTAAGTAACTTTTCCAAAAATCAACGTGAAAGAACATTTATGAGCATTTTATCATCCCCATAATTAACATTTATTAAATAACTAATAATTAATTAATTAAGTAAGAGTCAGATATTTAAATCTCTCTGTAAGGTGTCCGAAATAAAGTGAAGTATCTCAAACAGAACTTAGGATGTTTTAACTAACCAAACCGTTAAGATGAAGGAAATATTTTCACACACAAAAAAAAGAAAGAAAGAAAGAAACAGAAAACGAAAAGAAATACTGAACGAGTACAAACAGGTTATCAGCTAATAGTCTAATATGACTGTAGGAAAAAACAATATTTATGAAACAAGCCTGCACCTGTCACAACCTGTGGGAGCGTAAAGTGGATAAACCATGTAAAACATATATAAATCCTTTATCATATGTTGTGGTTATACAGGATTATACGTAAACTAATGAGCCTATTATTTTATATTTATGAATGAGTTATTTAAATGCTGATGTTTGACAGGGGAAAGGGTTCGTTTGATAATAATCTACACATTTAGCCCCGGTAAAGGATCGTCCAATCAGCGATTAAAACGGCTCTAATGGACCGCCTTCCGGGGCTCTTATTGGCTGCTGAGCCTGTCAGTCTGTGTCGGCTGCTAGGTTGCAGTGAGACTGAAGTGTTGTCGGTAACAAACAGCAGCGTTACACCGCCGGGGGACATCAATGGTGGAGAAGGCGTTGATTCCGGGCCAGGTCTGAGAGAGACCGTTAGTGGGGCTTATGGAGAGCTGAGGCCGAGGATGCGGTTAACGTCCTTAATGATGTTCACATCCACAGCCCTGCTATTCATTCTCATCGGATATATCGGGTTTGCGGAATCTGCCCCTCGCATCAGTCCCAGCGATGCGTCGCCTGTCTCCGGTAGGAAGTCCGGCTCAGCCTCCCACACCTGGGACCCCTTCCTGCCCGGCACCGCTTCATCTGGGATCAGATCCGGGTTCGGTCCTACGGCTGGAATCCCCGGCAGCTCCGGCTTTAAAACGGCAACCACCTTCCAGCCTCCGACGGATCCGACCACCGCCACCAGTCGCTCCACTGCCCTCCGCGGCTCTGGGATCATCTCCCCCAATAAGGAACCGATAACAGCGCCGAGCTCCCGGCTGACCGGGACGCGCAAACGCTCCACCGAAGCTCAGACACTTTACAGCCCGGAGAAAACGCTGCAGACCATGGTGTCCATGGTTTCCCAGCACACCACCAACGATGCCTGGGCTGCGGACGCCGCGGATCCACCTGATACCTCAGTGGAGAACCAAGGTGAGCCATCCGGACCATCCGCCGCTTTCAGGCCGGTTTTTGTTGCACACAGAAGCAAACAAGGCGGCCGCGTCCGACACAGGCTGCTGGAGCCCCGCTCTGTGATTTTGACGCAGACAGCGACCATAAAAAGAAGCCAACAATAGGCAGATCCCTCCAGTCTCTACACTGCACCCTTTGAAATCACTAAAACATCCAGAAAATGACACATTTCCACAGGATGCATGCTGCAGCTTTCCCTGTCTGGCCTTTGATGTGATCTGTAGGCCTTTTTGTTAGAGGAGGATCAAGCCACATATTCCAGTGGGCTGCAGGGGAGGGGGCTGTGAGGGGGTGTAAGGTGCTTCTGGTGTTGCTCGGTGAAATCTTCCCATCCAAACATCATTCCACTTGCATGTGGAGTGAAAGCAGCCACCCAGGGCAGCAGCTGCTCCATCCTCTCAGTATTGTTGTTTTGATGGCATCTGCAGCATCAGAACAAGGCCATCCAACCAAAATGGCCAAGCAGGCTAAAGCCATGAATGAGCAATGACAGTGGGGCCCCTCCGCTCTTACACCCCACACACATCCCAGCCTCCATGTGGATGTGTTGTTCTGTCAGCACAGCAGACAGATGCTGAAGCTTTTTAACCGGAATGGCTGGAAGTGAAAATCCAACCAACCGTTCATGTTATTATGGGGCCTGGATTTACATTGTTTACCTCAGTCTAAACATACAAAATCGTTTTCTTGTGCAATTTGGGATATTTTTTTAATCCTAAATGGTTCGTATATATGTATATGCATGTATGTATGTATGTATGTATTTATATATATACAGAGGCGTAGCCAAATTTTAATAAGGGTGGCCAGGTAATAACCAATGTAAACTGAGGGGTGGCCAAAAGTAGACAGGCACTAAAACCTCAGGGTCAATCTACACTGTTCCTACAGGAAAATTAAAGAGCAAAACATCCATATTTTCTAAATAAAGACAAATTATACTTTCCCACAGACTTCACTAACAAATAGACGCGTATATTTCAACATCCTTGCTTTCTACATAAAAGGTATATTGGATAAAATTCTTTCAGGTCTGAGTTTTGGGTGAACATCGTTTCCATTGTCATTACTTACCTACTTTTATCAATAATTATTATGCATAAAAATTATATTTACAAATACTAATATCTATATAAATTGATCATTAATAAAATTTAAAATAGTTGTTTATCTATGATTTCACTGAAGACTCCCAGATGACTTGCAGAGACGCATAATTTTCTCTTTACCCCATAAAACACAAAATGTAGTTCTGAAAAGAGCATTAATTCTGTACTTATCATCTTTAATGTTAGTATATTGATGTGCAGAATTAACCACAGTGTTTTTGTTCTCAAGTAATTGTTAATATATAAAAAATTAAAATTTTTTGCCACCATCTGTATTAGAGGGAAATAAATGGTAGAGGTGGCCACAGGGGTGGCCAATGATTTGCTGGCCCCCATCTAGCTCCGCCCCTATATATATATATATATATATATATATATATATATATATATATATATATATATATATATATATATATATATATATATATATATATATATATTATATATATATATATACTTCAAGAGAAACAATACCTCAAATCCAAATTCTCTGTGCAAATAAACTGTAGATATTTAGTCATAAGAGCCCCATATCTGCATATTATGGTGGACATTTTAACATTTTTGTTTAACTTGTTAACTGACTACATCTAAATCCCTGAAAATGCATGAATTAATTTGGCTGCTGCTGTTGAACCCTAGGGAAGGACTAGGCTGCCATATATAACTGTAGTATAGCAGCAGTAGTCCACACACAGGATGTGACAGTTAAACATGTTTATGATATAGGTGATATAGGTGATGAAATGAGGCTACTAAATGAGGCTACTGTGGTTAAATATTTCAGTTATTTAAAATGGTAGCAAAATTATATCAATATGTTCAATTTACCTGGAACTGGGAGTGATGTAATCTTCCAGGTGTGAGTGTCCCTACCTGTATGATTGGAGTACAAATAGATAACACCATAAACCATCCAAGTCAGTCAGGAGTTGCTCACATAGCGAGCATTGAATGTTATCAGCTATTAATGAGCATGGGATCTTTTTTAAGGTGGATTATTTAGTCTCATCAAATTCAATGTCATCCCAACCAGACTCTTGAATGTTTTGGTTTCACTGCGATTTTTAGAAAAGGATAAACAATTTAATGCAGTTGCAAATTATTTTTAAGACAGTTTTCAAGTACAAAACGAAGAAATAGAATGAAGAAGGAAATCTGTCCCAGATCATTTTTGTTTGGGCTTTGATATAACATTAAAATAACAGTTTTAGAGGCAGGAGGAAGGTGAACTCTGCTTCGGTTTCTTCCCTGCTGCACACAGATCCAGTCCCATCTACATCAAACCTGTTGTGTAACTTTAGAGAAGCTGCCCCAGGTCCCTTTATACACCTGAAGGAAGCTGCATTTTAAGCATGGACCACAGTGTCTGTGCTGAATGAGGCATTCTTCGGACGTCACAGTTCTGCAGGGGTGATCGGAGATGACAGACCGTTAGACTGAACTCTACACAACAGCGTCACTAAACGCCTTTATCAGTTAAATGAAACTGAAAGCTGCAGATGAACCAAAATATAATTAATAATGAAATGCCAGAGATGCTAAAGTGTCTGCTTTCTTTGTCTGCTGAGCCCAGAAAGAAGACAAACAGCGGCGCCTTCAGTTGCCACACCTAACTTGACATCAGATAAATAATAGATTGACTCTGTGCTCTAAAGTGTTATCATCCACATGCCTGACATCATATCATCAGGTTGGGCTTAAATGGTTGAGTTTGATCTTGATGTGCAGCACAGCAGCTCTCAGTTTGAACCAACGTGACTAGAGATTGTTCTTTAGAAAAGACAGAAGCAGGATTTTAGTTTTGATTTAGTAGATTTGGGTGGGTACAGTCATGAGTTGGTAAGGGAATTAGCAGCCCTGCCCTCTTCTCAAACATCTAGCTCTTTGCTTTCCCCTCCCAGGGGTTACAGGCAGCACGGTTAGGCCATTCCTGTGTCAAATTTCTATGCTTTTAGACCCCAAAACTGTCTTCCAGTGTCGCTGATGAAAGAAATCTGGAGCAGCGTCGCTGAAACTTGATCAAAGCCTGGTGGCTTAACATCAGCGTTGGCCTTTATAAGTTTGTGATGCACGCTGGATTAATGGGTTTCCTGTTTTCTGTTTTCATCTGCTACACAAAGAAGATCATACTGAGGGGGTGGGGTGCTTGGGTTGCTGTAATAACATGCAGTTGCAGTTCAATATATTATTATTATTGTTTAAAAAAAGCCAATTTTTGTAATTAATCACCTTAAAAATACTTTGATTTAAATTTAACCTTTCAGAAGGCCATTCAGTTCCTTTATGACCAATAGTGAAAGTTAAAAATGTCCCATTTTGCTTAAATGGCACCAGTACCGCTGTTTTAGGATCCTATTTATAGACAGGACTTTGAATGAAGTACAGCTGATTCAGCGATCGTTTTTATGCCTATACAATAATCTTACCAAGTAAAAAAAAAAAAATCAGTAATTTTTTTTTTCTGTGTCACGATTAAAACATATCCCTCTAATCCCTGAAATGTTTTTTTTTTTAAGATTAGAGAGGTCTTAAGACTGTTAAAAAGAATATCAGGAAGAACATTCTTCTCATATGCTGACATTTTGTTTTCTTCACTGCTAATCTCTCTAACCTTTAATTTTTTAGACCTTAAGGATTTTTTTTCATTTCAGCTCTGAACTAAACATTCTGATCCAGGCCACTTAAATTGCATTCCTTGTGGGCTGTTTTCCTGTATCTTTTATCCGTGTCTCTAATGTAACTTACCTTAATTAAATAATCGGGTTGTTAGCATGACTCGGCAGAACTTAGCTGCATGATGAGGAGGTTATTTGTTCATTTGATTCAGGCATGTTGGACCAGAGACATGTCTAAAAGTTCCACGACGATTTCATCAGTCAACTCATTTAAATTATGGACTAAGATTGTTGAAAATATCAATATTCCGGAAATACCACACCAACCTGATAGGGTATCAATGCTTAAAACAAGTGTTGTTTGTATATTTTTGCCTTTATTAATATTAGATTTCTGGATTATAGATGTGTTAAAAGAATAACACTTCAAATCACCATTTATATTTGTTTTATTTGGACATTTATTTAACTGCCATCAGGATGCTGTTAAGAAATCATGTTCCATGTTGACTTGATAAAGTTTTTCATACTGATAAAAATATTTCTATGCCTTATAGTTATGTCTTTTTTTTACCCTCTGGGTATTAAAATGGTGGTGATTATCGAGTATTGATAACAAGTTTGGACTTTTATTTTGTCACAAGCCTAATATAAACATGATTATTGGCTAAAAGGGACTCTTCTCATATGGTGGTATGAAATATAAAGTTGTATGTTATCAGTAGAGCAGGGTAAAAAAAATCGATTTAATCGATTTTGAATCGATTGCAAAATCGATGTCTAGGGAATGAGATCAATTAGTTTTATAGTGACGCGCGTGACGTTCACATTCAAATGAGCAGGAAAGATGCACTCAAGATTAATTTAAGCCAGACAGCTGCAAATATACCCAATAGGTTCACTGAAGACATTAACAAATGGGGGCTGACCAGAAAACACCCTGTAGTTGTTACAGACAATGCTGCAAATATGTTTTTTTTGCATTGAAGATAATGCAGCTCATGCACGTCTGCTGTTTCACGTCTGTGTCACGTCTGCTCGCTCGAGTGAGGCTTCACTTTTTCACTTTTCACAAACAAGTTTGCACCTTTGAGACAGTTTTGTTAACATCTCATGTTTAAACTGTCCGATTTATAAGTTTGCACTTTGTGTTTAATATGACAGGAAAAAATAAAATTTTGAAACATAGTTTAACCACTTTCATTATTGTAAAAACAGATTGAATAGAAATTAATCGATTTAGAACTGTATGAATCAAAATCGAATCGATTCAGGACTATGGCGATATACCCAGCCCTAGTTATCAGCATATTTTACGATATGAACTACAGGAAACATGTTATTTAATAAACTGGATGGAAAATGGAGCCTCAAAGCACCCCACATATAATGTTTGTTGCAACATAGATGTATAACCACTAAATAGAACAAAGTAGCTGGGTCTGAAAAGTAGAGTTTTCTAGTTAGACCAGGAAAGTGGAAAACCAAACATGGAAAAATACTCAACGAAAAGATCTCGTTTTGTGGCCGACATTCGTTTAAAAAATAAGTTTTTATATTTATGTTGTGGGGATTTTCTCTAAAAGAGGAGAAAACTGATCATTTTAAATGCTTACTGGATTTTTATTCTAAATGATTTTTTGTTTTCTTCTTTAAACCTGTAGGAAAAAAAACTGATTGTTTGAACAATGACTCCCTGTTGAGGTAAATTTTGGGATGTTTCACTTCTGTGAAAATCTTTAGGTCACCTGTTTCAGATCTGCTCCATGCTGCCACATTTATGAGATGTTTAAACTTTTGTTTCAGGGAAGAAAAAGATGATCTATGAGAATACAGGAGCTCATAGTGCAGCAATCTAAAATAAAACTACATCTGCACCTTCCATTCCATCCAACAGGCATATTTAAAGGCTTTGTCTTTCTTCTTTCATTGCAAACCTCTTCCCTCGTGGTCAATCAGAGGCGGTGTGCAACTGCAGCAGCGGCAGTGAGGGGATCGACGATCCGGACAAATGCAACCAGAGCACCGGTCAGTGTTTGTGCCTGACGGGCTACGCCGGCCTGCAGTGTGACGAGTGTGAGGAGGAGTACTTCACCAACGGCACCAGTGGCTGTCTGCCCTGCTCCTGTGACTCTTTTGGCGCAGTACACCTCAACTGCGACAGGTCAGGGTCCTTTTCTTCCATTTGCATTTTACCTTTGTGAGGACTGTTTTTTGTTGAGACCCCACCAGTGGCTGTGCTGCAGTAGACCACAAGCTAATTCCAGACTGAACTAACAAAGACCTAAAACAATGGTTCGACAGCCATACTCCTATTCTTTCTAAACATTGACTCACACAATGAAACAGTTGGATTTATTTTCTGTCTGATTTCCTCTATTCTTGTGAATAAGCTGTTATCGTCCGTCCCAGAGCCTCCATATTTTTGGGTGTGTAACCTTGTGTTTCTGGAAGGAAAAGAAAAGCTGTGAGAGCTCTGCAGCCCCGAATGCAGCACTCTCACCCAAAATTAACATGTGCACCACGCTGTTTTGTTCCCATCAGGGCTTATTGAGCCGCAGCCTATAAATCCACCTCCACCGCCACCACCGTGCAATTTACTAGGCAACTGAATGCTAATATAACTGTTTATTATTCAACCAAACTGTTTGCGTTGTGCAGGTGGTTTGGGGGGTTTTTGGGACCACTCTGACAAAGGTTTCCATAAGAAAGAGATAACCTTGACCTTGATTTTATTTTTTTTACGTTTGTGACTTGCAACCATTTCCTCTTTAAACAGCTGTATCCATTTAAAATATTGATCTATTTCGTCCATGAATCATAACAGCCTGGGTAATTCCCTTTACTTTATCTCCTATTTAAAGAGAGAGTTCAGACTTTTTATGAGGGTTTTCTAACAGCACATACTCATAACTCTTTGCATTTGAATTTTGAGAAAACACTGATTCGTTTTTTAACTATCTGGCTCTGAAAAGTTTATATTACAGTTATTTACACAGACAGGGGTAGGTAGCTTTTTGACCTTCCATGAGAAGGAAACACATGCTGGGAAATGGAGGTTAAGCATCTTTATTTTAGAGTAATTATCTCAGACTTTTATCTCATAAATAAAATGGTGTAAAGCTTTTATGCTAAAGGTTGTTAAAGCTATGCTCACAAAAATCAGATGTATAAAACCTTGTGCATGCATGTTTTTGTTCAACTTTGCTTCATGTGTCCCAGTTTGTAAGAAATCTGGTGCAGCTGCAGGTGCTTTCTGCATCACCTGCACCACCAATGAATAATTATGCAAAGTAATTGATTATTAAAATAATCGTCAACTAACTTAGTAATTGATTAATCGTTAAAAACACGACATAAAAATTTTGCATTTCAGATTAAAAAAGTTTTTCAGATTAAAAGAAATGTTTTCGTCTGTCATTATGCTCGATCAAGAACTCCACAAGTGGAAAAGAATTAGTTTCACCTGGTTTGATTTCACAAAAAGTCTTCTTTAAGGAACCTTATGTTTCTGATTATTAATCGATTCTTCCAAAAAATAATCAATTTCCAAAACACTTGTTGGTTGGCTGCATCCCCAGAAATATTAATATCACAAATCCCTGCGAAGAACACAATATTTACTTGCAGCTGTATTCTAAGTATGCTGGTTTGCACTTTGTCAGTATTTCATGCAGCAGGTTGGATGGAGCAAACATGTAACTAGACTGCAATCCCAAAGATACTTTCGCTCAAAGAGCAAAAATGGAAAAATGACCAAGAAAAATGTGGATTTATCACCAGATGTATCATCATCTCACTTTCAACAGGATGTAAAAATAGAAAATTGATATATTTTGGTAAGGAACTTTACCTGCAAAATGCAGCAAGACTAGAATGTTAACAGTAACCAATGAATAACTATGCATAGTAGTATAAATACCTGGACATTCTCACCAAGTCGAAACAACCTTGGCCGTAAGTTATACAAAAAATAGAAAAAGGTCTAATAGTTTTTCCAAAGCAATTTTAAAACAATATTAAACTTAGTGACATGCTATCATATAGCAGACTGGACATACTGAGTTATTTAAGTTATTTAATGGAAGATGAAGTGGAAACTCTGGAGGCAGCAACAGGGAAATGGTGTCAAAGGAACCCGGTTCAGCTGCAGTCTATAGTAGATGTTTTCATCCTGTCAGTCTGCTCCCTCCGAAATACTCTGGCTGTTAAGAACCCCAGCATAGCGAGAAGCTAAACTGGCCCTGGCAACAAGCGTTTCCTCCTAGTTTCACTCTGTAACCCTGAGGTCAGCCCCCTGCAGAGCTCCAAAATAATTCCTTTGAGCTAATCCGGCTAATAAGCCACACATGATCATGTAGGGCAGTACGATCTCTGACGACACACTCCCTCTGACTTCCCACAGTGCGAAAGCTGTCATCATTTCACAATTAGGCACAAATTTACACAGCAATCTACAGACATTTGTGATTGTCTGCAGCTTATCAACATAAAAAATAATCACACCACACAAATCAGACGTTCATCTTAACAAAAACAGATCACAGGTGATAGTGTATCCTAAAAATAACTATGTTGAGTGATTATTTTTGCATGATATAATTGAATCATAAATCATTAAATCAATGATAATATGGATGTATTATAGCACCTTTATTTACTGTGAGTTTAATTTGACCTAAATCATAAAGTTAAATACATTTCTGAAGCCTGGCTATTAGTTTATTAGGAAACCTGTCTGCCTAATGTGTTGATGTGAAGTTTCCCTCCATCAGGATGCTGTTATTATTACTCATGATTGTTCGCGACTCAAACAATTGAAGGAACACTTTAATATCAGATCTCGATTGGTGGGGGGGAGCCATGTTGGATATCTCCATTGATTTGAAATTGGTAATTTGTTACGCAAAAAAAAGATGCCAAAACTGAACGACTAAACCATGGAGAGCTTATTTCAAAAACATAAAAAAAACAAACCACTGGACTTTGTTTTCCAAGTTAGAAGACTTTTCCTTATCATCCAGGAAGCTTTTTAAATTCAATACGTCAGGATTATAGAAGTGAGTTCCAAGCTTTATAGACCAGCCAAACTAAGCCTCGTTTCTAATTGTTAATTCTTTCCTTGTTGTCAATTCAGACATTTTGAATTGGAAGGTGAAAAGTCTTCAAACTTTGAAAACAAAGTCCAGTGGATTGTTTTTAAAAATTTTTGGGGATTTCTATGACCTGGATGACTGAGAATCTTCACCAACACATGGAGAGCTACATTCATTGGGGAAGAGAAACTGAAAAACTGAAGCGCTAGGCTGGTCTAATGCGCTGAAACATCATTACTGCAGCTCAATAGATACTCAGCAGCTTGTGGGCCCTGAAAAAGATGATATGCATCCAGGGTAACGTCAGGATGCTACTTATGAAAGGAGGAATTCTGCCCTGGGGGGGATCCCCTACTGGGGTTGTCACGATACTAAACTTTTCAACTCTATACCGATTCTAAGTAAAATATCCGATACTGGATACCCTTTTCGATACCACAAGAATGGAGAATTCAACAGAAATATTTTCATTACTAAAAAAATACAAGAAATAAATAAAAAAACAATAAGAATAATATTTTGAGGTTGTATGCTGTGCACAATATTAAGCAAGCTTGATAAAAAAAACTAAAAAATTTTAAATTAAGTGTTCCTTCCTTGGCTATGTTTTGCAGACATAAAAATGACACTAGCCAAACCAGTTAAAAAACAAAAATAATTCTCAGTAGCTGCACCTGTTACAAAAAAAGTCTGAACCTGAAAAATGCACAGAATTATTCAATCACACAGTGTTCAGAAAGTGTATTTTCCACTATTCTGCACTTTAGATGGCTGTATCGATACTTTTGAAAATGAGTATTGTATCCGGATACAACGTTTCAGTATCGATACTTTTGACAACCCTATCCCCTACCAGATTCTGACCGTTGCATCACTGAGCATGCTGGTCATTGGATGACAATGCTGGTCATTGGAGCATGGAGGCAAGTCGGTGATATAAATTCCTTCATTTTCCAGGTACTGTCAGAAATTCTGGCCACATGAAGCACAAGTATTTTTCACCACGAGACCCGAGGATTTACTGCACCAGTAAAAGGGTTTAAAAATTTGATTTTATCTACCGGCAGATTAGAGTGCCATTATTTATTGTGTACAGTTCCTCCCTACATGGATTCGCCTCCCCAGACTTAACACAGCCACCACCACACGGATAATGCTAAAAATATAGTAGCATTAGGAGACATTTTACCAATTACAGCAGAACCCAGAAGGACTCTGAAACGCAGCGTTAAAGAAGTGAAAGGCAGCGGCATCAACTAATGAGAGATTATTTACTGGTGGCGAGACGCACTGTGTTTGGTGAACGCTTGCTTGATACACTATATTGCCAAAAGTATTTGCTCACCTGCCTTGACTCACATATGAGCTTAAGTGACATCCCGTTCCTAATCCATAGGGTTCAATATGACGTCGGTCCACCCTTTGCAGCTAGAACAGCTTCAACTCTTCTGGGAAGGCTGTCCACAAGGTTTAGGAGTGTGTTTATGGGAATTTTTGACCATTCTTCCAGAAGCGCATTTGTGAGGTCGCACACTGATGTTGGACGAGAAGGCCTGGCTCTCAGTCTCCGCTCTAATTCATCCCAAAGGTGTTCTATCGGGTTGAGGTCAGGACTCTGTGCAGGCCAGTCAAGTTCATCCACACCAGACTCTGTCATCCATGTCTTTATGGACCTTGCTTTGTGCACTGGTGCACAGTCATGTTGGAAGAGGAAGGGGCCAGCTCCAAACTGTTCCCACAAAGTTGGGAGCATGGAATTGTCCAAAATGTCTTGGTATGCTGAAGCATTCAGAGTTCCTTTCACTGGAACTAAGGGGCCAAGCCCAGCTCCTGAAAAACAACCTCACACCATAATCCCCCCTCCACCAAACTTTACACTTGGCACAATGCAGTCAGACAAGTACCGTTCTCCTGGCAACCGCCAAACCCAGACCCGTCCATCAGATTGCCAGATGGAGAAGCGCGATTCGTCACTCCAGAGAACGCGTCTCCACTGCTCTAGAGTCCAGTGGCGGCGTGCTTTACACCACCGCATCCGACGCTTTGCATTGCACTTGGTGATGTATGG